AATAATGTTGCAGTTTCATGTTAATTTTTGCACAAAGCAGAAACTATAAAGAGGGTGGCTCAGTGGTGCAGTGCTGGAGCTCAGGGTTCAATTCCTGATCTTGGGTGCTTTCTGTGTGGAGTTTGTATGTTCTCCCTGTGTTCACAAGGGTTTTCCCCACAGTCCAAAAGCCTGGACTTTTTTTTTAACTGGGAGGTTAATTGGCCCTGGTGTGTGTCCATCCTGTGGATCTGGTGGCTCCCCTTGTGCATTTTGCATGCTGGAATAAGTTATGGACTACTTGTGACCCTGAATTGGAAGAAAATAGAACATGGAAGGATGGATAAAACATAAAAACATCTAATTTTAAATTGGATTTAATATCAGAGCTTTCAAAACATGGACTGTGTTATTATAGTTGTGCTCTCAATAAATCCATTGTTCCTAAATTAACAAAGAACATTGTTCTCCAGTTATGTTAATTGTTAGTTAAATGTTAATGCAGGAGTTAATGACGCTCCCGTGCTGTTCTTTGAATTCTTTGAAAGTTGTGTTTTAAAATTATGTTGTAAGCCTCATATTATGAAGTCCTGTTGACTTCAAGTTATATACTTTTTTCCCTCCCTGTACTATCTTAATGAGGACATAGAAGAATCTTCATGAACATGGAAAGTCTTTCCATTCATAGATTCCTACAGGTTAGAATCACCCATGCCATTTGTATAATTTGTGTCCTGTTACCCAGTAAAAGCTAAAGATAGTTGCAGTAAATTGACAAGTAACAGGGTTATTGTAAATACTAAGAAATACAATTAACAATCTTCTTTGTGTCTCTACTTTTTTTTGTTGTATAATTATGGCAATAATTAAATTAAATTTAAAAGACAAAACCACCTGTTACACTAAAACTCAGACGGAACGATTTTGTCACAGGATAGCTTCACTATTTACCTTCTGTCTGGCAAATAGCAAGTAGACTCTAACGGGCATAATCCAGGGGCAGCGGCTGTATGTGGATTCTATGTTGACTCATAGGGCTACTATTGTGTGATAACTGTCAAGTATCGGGGTGTGTCATGTTTTCCTTTTTTGTGTCTTTCCTTTTTTGTTGGTCCCTCATTTCTAATCGGTCTTATCCAAAAATTTAAAACAAAGGAGTCATGAAACCCTATTGTGTGTTAATTGATACATGCCAAGATCAACAATGATTAGATTCATACACTGCACTAACTAGATTAAGAAAATGAGAGCACCTTGATTATAAAAGGCTGCGGTGAACCCAAAATACTTCATCGTAGAACTTCAGCGAACCGACTGGCAGTGATCGTTTTTGTTGTTGTTAATTTTAACCTAGTTTAACGGATTTTAGCTGGGTAGTGCAGGCATGCAAGAGAGTGAAATAATTTTGTTGACTGGTTTTTGCTTTATTGTGGGTAAGCCTGTGTTTATCTACGTTGTCACTATTATAAGCTATCATTCTCAAATGTGACTTTATTCTTTAGTTGTAAGATACCTTGCTACTGAGGGACCTGCTGATAAAACAAACAGGTAAGATCTCTAAAATTTAAGTGTACTTCTGGGTTCTGGGAGTCGGCTTTTAACCAGAAGAAAATGATCTGGAGTCTGGAGGTACTTCATTACATTATAAACTACCTTATAAGTTGAGAAAAAAAGCACATTTGAAGCGCCATCTGATTCAACACGCAGACATCTCGACAGATAAGAATTTTACATTGAAGCTAGCCAACCAATTAAATAGAAGACGAAGGCTCCTTGCCTGAAACGTGTTCTCTTCTTTTTTTTTCAGCATGGACTAAACCTATTACTTGTTCCTTTGCAGCCTACGCATGCTGACGCAGCTCCCCACCTGAACAAGTTCAAGTAGGTAGCTTCGTCAACATACGGCTGCAAAGGAACAAGTTACAGGGGTGAAAACGGAAGAAAGGAAACAACGTGAAGGCACACCCGAAGAAGGCTCCACAGTCGAAGGGTTGTGTTTCCTTTCTTCTCTTTTCAACATGGAATCAACCTTTAACTTGTTCCTGATAAAGAACAATGCGTATTTCACGATTTGAATACTAGGGAATTACTAGTTTTAGTAGTCGCTTGTGCGTGCTGCACATCGGCTTCATAATGGCGCTCTGCCAGCGGAAAAAGGAAATTCTTCGGCTCTTAGTTTGAAAAAGTTAAACTGAGTCAGTGTCCTGTACATTTCACCATATGTTATAGTAATCAGAAAAGAATGTTCTTTAATCACATTAAACAATTAGCCTTGTGTAGCTGCCTGTTCATCTCACCGTGGAAATATTATAGTGCCGATATTCTATAGCACATGCAGTCATTTTTCATTTTTTTTCAGAATAATATGTAGCGTGGAAGCGATATGACAGGCGATTATACAGGCATATCACCTTGTCAGCATGATGTTTGCACAACGTCATTATTATCGCACCCTGGCCATGGGGTAGGAAGGTGATTTGAGGACAATTAAAATTGCACTTCGGCTATGGCAGTAGTCCAAAATAATATGGTGTTGAAAGGGCTAGTTAGTTAATGTAAAACGCTGGGTCTGGTTTAAGGTTGCAGGCATTCTTATGAATAAAAACAGAACTTTCAGTGGACAGTTATCAAACCCCCCCGGAAACACTAGCAAAACAGTCATTCTTCTTTTTAAAAGATCCACAATTTAACAAGTGGCACAATTGTATCCAAGGGAATTAGAGCCAGCCATTTTGGCAGCACTGATGTAAGAAATTTGGCAATCAGTGTGAAGCCCTAGAAGTTTTCATATTTCTGCATCCCCTATTTTCCAAATCATGGGTTTTATTCTGCATCTGTTCTATTTGCCGTCTAAAGTATTCTGTTGGCTTTCTTGGGTAAAGCCTCCATCTTCCACTTAAGGTGTAATTAAATTCTATTTCCTGTCTCATTAGTATCAACATGTTTTGCCAAGTTTGTCCGGGACTCATGCAGTGAGTTGTGGGGATCAAGTCAAGGTGACCATCAACAGTGTGTAAAGGGAACTGAGCGCCCTCATCTTGACCAGTATGGAGTAGTGAATGGTGGCATGTTTTCCTTTTGGTGAGAAGTTTTCTCTTTCATCTTCTCTTTCTCCTTTGAGGTGCTTTTTTGCGCTGGGGTGTTTGCAAAAAGAGTAACATCTCACACCTCTAGCGTCTCTGACATGTTAGGGAGAAGTGTCAGTGATGCCATTAGTAGAAAAGTAAAATGAAACAGAGGAATTTTAGTCAAATAAAGGTGAAGCGGAGATAAAACTTAAATGGCCATCTTGTTTCAGGTCATGTAACACCCCTCCTGCCCCCTGAGGCCAGTTCTAAATTGTGCTGTAATCTGCAGTGTTAGATGGTCTTTAAATCTGCCTTTTAGAGACAGTATGTTTGTATTCCTTCAAGCTGAATTTTGTAAATGGACAATCTTTACAATAGTGATTCTGTTTATTCTTCAGTTTAAAAAAAAACATTTTCTCAATCATAAAGGATGCTAAAGTCATGCGGTTAGTGTTGCTTTCAGCAGGATTTGTAGACAGGGGCTTGTCAGTATGGTGTACATTTCTATTGAGCCAACATGCCCTAACAAAGCAGTCACGCTATAATTAGCTTTCACTGTCTCCTCCTAGTGGATAAGTAAGTCACTGCACTATATTCTAAAAAGATCCATCCATTTCATTCCATGTGTGAAGCAGATCACAGAGATTGCAGGAGTGTACCCAGTGGCGTGCCCCCATTACTTTGTTGAGCCCAACTCTGCCCCCCCCCCCCCAGCTGGGTGGATACTGGAGTTGCAATTGTTGTTGACTGATAATTTGTATTTTGTATGAACATAAAATTCATAATCATGTTAGTTCCCATAAAATTCTAAAAAGATGTGTGTTACTTACGAAATGAATTCAGGAAAGGAATTCAGAGTTGCAGGCTAGATACTGTAAGGGTGCAAACTGCAAAGGAAGAAGTACAGGTGAATTCCACGCTGCCAAGTAAAAAGTAAAATAGAAACAAAAACATTTTGGCTATGGGGCCTTCACTGGTGCTTTTTCTTCTCTGTTGTTTTTACTTTACAATGTAGAGTCAAATGTATTGCTTTAGGGCGTTTTGCTAAAAAAATAATAAAGTCACAAACCATGCTATAGCTAAATAATAGTCCTTCAATTAATTTAAAAAACATTTAAAAATTATTCCTTTCAATGTACACAAAAAGTGATGATTTTTTAAGTAGAATCCTCTTCATTCTATTCCTTTCAAAGCAATCAAGATATAAGAGTGCAAAAACTGAAAACATTAATGTAGATCTATTGGGGCAGGACTGTGGCACAGTGATTAGCATTGCTGCCTTGTAGCACTGGGGCCCTGTGTTCAATTCCTGGGTTGCTATCTGCACGGAGGTCCTGTACTCACATGGATTTTCTCCCACAGTCCTGGTAAGCTAAGAGGTTTCTGTGAAAATTGGCCTGGTGTGTGTGTCTGTGTGTGCCCTGCTAAGGACTGGCATCCCATTCAGGGTATATCATGCCTTGTGACCGTTGCTCCCCTGCTACCCTGAATAGGATAAAGCAGTTAGAAGATGGATGTGTGGATCTAGATTTATTGACATAGTCAAAATAAAGTAAAAATGTTACAAGTGGAGAAAATTTCAGTGACTTGTTGAAGTGTGTTCTGGAGATGACTGTCAATTGTCAAACAAGCACTCTGGAGAGACAGAAGTACCCTCCATTGTTCGTCAGTATGGGGTAGTGCTGTGTTATCGCAAGACCTAACAGATTTTATCCATATTAATACATGTAATCTTTTTAGTAAGATCATTACTGTCCTTATATGTACTTAAATCAACCCTACGAGTAAACTCCTTGAGATTTAAACAGCACAGAATATGTACAGTAAATCATTCCGTCTGTAGAAAGGAGATAAATCTCTCAAGATCTGTAGCAGGAAAGATACAGGGCATGCAGTCCTGATATCATAGTGATTTGAAAAGCAGGGAAAAATGAAATATTTTCAACCATCCAGTATGTGAATTACAATTTAATTAAATTACAATAAAATATTTGAATTGCTTTAAGTCATTCTAAGGTGCAAGAATGTATTAAGTACAAAACATTAATTTTAAAAATGTCTCTGACATGTATGTAAAAATACACAACAGAAAGTGGTTATATGGCAAGTATTTTTTGGCTGTGGTGTTAACAGTTTTAAAGGGATACAGGGAAGTATGGCTTAGCCTGAAGTAAATTTCAGACATTGTCCCCAAACCCCAGTCAGTAGCTGTCTCAGTCCCAGGCTCCTCCTGAAGCACAGGCCCTCTTATTCCAGAAGACCAGGATGCAATTGCAAAATGCCCCCCCGTCACTTCAGCCTCCTGTGGATTTGACCAGAAAAAAAAGGAAAATGTTTAACATAAGAAAGTGCAGCATTTCAGTTTTTTTTTAATTACCATCATGGTGAATGCTCAGAATACATTCTCATTGTTAAAATATTTTTTTGGGGTTTCCAGATGCTTATAACACAAATATTAAGTAAAATATTAGGACTGTTTTTTTTTACCTTGTTAACTTCTAACTTGTAATTTTCTCAATAACACATGGCTATATTTGACAGATATATATTTAGTGTCTGAGATATCTGACTTAAGATAATATTTTGTTTTTTCATTGGGAGGCATGAACAAAACTGAAACTGAACAACAAGTTTAGAAATGTCTTCAAGAATAATAAAGATCACACAGGATCTGCCAACCTTGTGAATGAGGACTCTAGTTCCTCCAGGCCGGCTGGCAACATAGATGTATTGGTGCCAGGGGCTGAACGAGGGGGTTCTGGAATGGTACTGAGGTGCAGGCCTACTGGACATGAAACTGAGCCAGCCAAGGAACTGGACACGGCACTACAGGGAACACTGGGAGAGCTTTCCATGGACCCCGCAAGCACATTTCGACAGCGCCATCTCCCAACAAAGCCAGCTAAGAGCGAATCCACAGCATAAGGATGCAAAAAAGAAACACAAATGAGTGAAAGAGTCTCATTTGGTGGATAAAGAGAAAAGCTACAGTGTTCACATGCTTGACATGAAATAGAAAGAATATCTAGTATAAAATAGGAAGTGCAAAATGCATTAAGCAAGTAGGGAGTATTTCAAAATCAGGAAATGCTACTTATGTACAAAGGGCTATATAGAATGTTATAAAATAAGTTATTTTAAATTGGTGGCTATGGTTAGGTGTCAGATTCATCCATGACCTATCATATCATATGTCCTGTATTTCCTATTTGACCTACCATATCATACGTCCTATATTTCCTATATGACCTATCATATTATATGTCATATCATATGTTCAGGTGGGGAGCTGTGCGTAGCATGAGTAGGCTGCAAAGGAACAAGTAATAGGTTTATTCCATGCTGACAATTTTTTTCAGCCTGGAATAAACCTATTACTTGTCATATCACATGTCCATGACCTCTCACATCATATCATATGTGGAGTTGTGTTTCCTTTCTTCCCTTTCAGCATGGAATAAACCTATTACTCATTCCTTTGCAGCCCATGCATGCTGACGCAGCTACCCACCCAAACTATATCATATGTCCTATCATTATTACAATGATGTATTTTTGCAGTTGTTTACAGAATATGCTCTAAGCATACTTTGCAAGACATATTAGTAAAATACTTTACCTTTTCTTCTCCTGAATACTTCCAGAATTTCAACTTACCTGACCACTGAAATTAGCATTTAACACTGGAGTGAAAGGTTTGAGTTGTTCAGGAGATAGGAATCACAGCTCTTACACAGATATTGCTGTCCCATGCTGGTTCCATCCATCTGCAGTGAAAGGTCCAACTTGGCCACTCCCAAAGGTAGCTGCGTGGGGTCTCGTTCGCCTGGACATTTCAAAGGTCTGTGAAGCTGCTTCTGGCTACGCAGCAGGGCCCTGCTGGACAGGTCTCGAAGCTGGGAGCCACTGGGCAGGGGCTGCAGCTGGACTGGGTATGCAGCAGCTTGCCTGGAAGGAGAGGCAAGACCAGGCACTCTGAGTGGAGAAGAGAAGCCATGCATTTTCAAGGATGCCTGCAAACAAAAGCAAAGGGAAACTGCTGCAATTTTATGAGTTTACCATCCAAATGTTTGTATTTAAACTGCTATGAAAAACCATATATATTTTTATCTTTCATCTCGTTTGTATTATTTTAGAGTAAGTAGAATTGTCCTGTGTTTTAGACACAATAGATAAAGATGTATACAAAGCTTAGTTTGGATTAAGCTTGATATGCCTTATACCAGCTGTCTTCCTTGATGTTAAAGGAATATTACAGAAAGGTTTACATATGTGTAGCCAAAATGTTACAACAACGGTTATCGTTACCTATCACTTCAGCATAGGACTTACTTTCCTTCTGCGTGGGCTATCCAGGTTGTGCTGCTTCACAATCTCTCGAGGGATGCTGTACATGTTTCCCGCCTGCAGAAGGCAATAGACCAGCTCCACCACCCCCAGTCCCCTCAACAGACTCTCCCGCTGCTCTAGGCCTTGCAGCCTCTCTGCCTCTTCCTCCTCAACAACCAGTCCTGGGCTGAAAGAGTCCCAGCTGGCCTCCTGCCCCTGTCCCAGGAAGGGGCGCGAGACAGGATTTGGACACTGAGTCAGGGGACAAGAAAGAGAAAACCACAGACAGAAAGCAACAATGAGAAAGACTTATTGAATTAGAGCCCTTGGGAAGGATGTGTGGCAGTTTTGTTAGTAAGTTGCAAGAAGTGAAATAATCGGCTGATGGCCCCCTTTTGTCTTTAATCTTCTAATGATTAATGACTGTGCTGTGTGCTCACAATGGAAGGGGCTGTGTGCTGCGTGATTCTGCGATTGATGGCTCTTTCCCCGGAAGACTCTCCCTGCTGCCCCCTGCCGCCTCGCTTTCCTGGGAGCGGAATCCTTCCACCCAGCTCCTGTTTCACCTGCAGCTCCTCCAGCATCTTCCTGAGGGGCACACAGGGACACCCTTGTCTGCAAAGATTTGCTGGTTTAACAGTGAAATCTATGGCAAGTAATGGAGTTCTTGAAGCTCTGGAGGTCTGATGATAACCAACACCTTTCACCTCAGCTATCCTAAAGCTTAATCATTCTCAAATGCATCTGATTCTTGGGCGACATTATTTCTTGTGAATTCATATTGAATAATAATGTGTCAAATGTAACACTGTACCATTGCTTAAATTAGTGCATTTCTGTTTTAATTGCCATGTCACGGTAAAAGTGCATAAATGCATTCCTAAAAAAGTAGTAATAGAAAACATTTCTAATATTTAAGAATATCTTCAGTTTCAACTGTCCTCAACAGCACTGTCTCTTGAGAATGCTTGATGACTCTCTGTTAAAACAGGTATCTTAATGCTAAACGAAGTAAAGTATTCAATCTTTAGAAGCATATTTTTCTATTTACAAATCTGCATTTAGGTTAGAAAGTTTCCCTTACTTGCCCCGATCTTCATTTATTTATTTAATCACCTTTTCTCCATCTTTGACTGCACCCATTTTTTTAAAGTTCCCTACCTGGCACACTCCTCCCTAGCTTTGGAGGCTACAGTTTCCTGGAAGAGGGAGACACTGTGCTGGAGGAACTTGTCATATTTTTCAGAATCAATCCTGGGGTAGATCCTACAAAAGGCCCCGCTGTGCTGCTCTTCGTGCTTCTCCTGCTCAGCAAGCCAAGAAGCCTGAGTACTCAAAAAAAGCTCCCTCCTATGGACAGCAAAGAAACAACAGCAACATGCATCAGGAGAATTAGTAATCCAGATTGACTCAAGATTTCCACCTGAAACAATTAGTCTCTCCTTTGGCCTTTGATGAACACTTGCTAGAGTATAGCTGTAGCTTTAGTACCTGTACAATTCTACAGGCTACAATGTTGTTAAAATATATATCACTGTAATTTAATGCCTTTATATATCTACTATTAGTGGTGTTGCCTTACTGTTTATACAGTATATATATTATGACCCTGTTTATAATGTTCAGTTGCTTTTTAAATCCTATAAGTAGGTTATGGAAACAATACATTGAACTTGACTATTTTATCTACATTTATTAATCCTCTTCTTTTACTTTACCCTTTTGTCCTATACATTTATTTTAAGCCCAAAGTAAATGATTGAATGCAATAAAAAAAGAAAAAATTAAATCACCCAGCAGTGACAAAAGATTACATGATTAACGGATGGTGCTAGACTGATATTGTGACAAACATAGTACCTGTAAAGTTAGATTTGTTTTTTCCCCCCAAAACAATTAACAACTATCCAGATAAACCCCAAAGACCTAGATTTATTTTAAGGATCAATATATTTCCACATTTGAATAGTCTTGAATTAAAATCCCAGAAGTGAGAAACCTTAATACAGTCCAATACTTGTTCATTTCGTCCTACAGTAGAGCTGGTGAATAAAGCTGACTAGTGCAGGGCAAGGCACAAAAGAGCTGCTTTGTACCGAGATCTACAAGGGGGCTGGTGTTTCTGCAGCAGGCGCTCTTTCGCCCTGCGCTTGTCCTCCTCCAGGAGCCTGCGCCGATCGTTGACACCCAAGTTGAGCAGCCGCAGTGTGTCAGTGAGCAGGGCCTCCTTCACCTGGCGATCCAGCTCAGAGTCTGTAGTAAAACTGGGGGAGTGGTTCACCTGCCGTGGGACAGCCAAGCGAAAGCAAGTTTCGCTTTGTCAGATTAAGTCATGTATGTACTGTACAACATATACACCTATAACACTAAAACACAACAATGTACTTACTCCCCTTTCACTACCTTTTAAACACACTATCTATATTACAGGTGGGTAGCTGCATCAGCATACATAGGCTGCAAAGGAACAAGTAATACAGTGGGTTTATTCCATGCTGCAAGAGAAGAAAGAAGAAGTCTTCCACACCTGAAGAAGGCTCCACGGCCAAAACGTTGTGTTTTCTTTCTTCTCTTTTCAGCATGGAATAAACCTATGGTATTTCTTGTTCCTATCTATATTACGTTCTAAATGACAGGGCAATATGTTGTTTTCTACCCCATTCCTAAAAAAAAGGTATGTGAAAATAAATCAGGCCGTCCCAGGTGAAAAACTCATCAGCATCTGAACAGTAATAAGATACTGCAGGACTGGGATAACCCCCAGCATACCTCCAAGAGCCAGGGTTTCAGTTTGCTGTCCAGCAGGATGTCAAAACCCAGGATCTCAAAGCAGGAACTTGGTCCCAGCTGGTTGGGGAAACCAGTGCAGTAATTGTGCTTCAGGATGGGATGGGCAGATATCAGGGTCTTGATTATCACATCCTCCATGTTGCTCCACAGTGCCTGTATGTCATAGCAATGAAGCTCTAGCCATTCCTTTAAAGTTGACAGCTTCCTATATAGACCAGGGGAAGATGGCGTTTCCAGATTCAAATCAGATTCAAGGCTGCTCACATTGTAGTAGGCAAGAAGAACATGAAATGTAAATGAGTCTAGTAAAAAAAATGTCTGAATAGAGCCATCTCCTGCAAGATGCTGACCTTTTGCTTCCTGTCTCCTCATCACGGATGAAGTTGTCATTATGTTTATTGATGGCATAGTTTGTCAAATGCATGCAAATGTCATCCTAGACCAAAGAAAGAGACAACATAGCAGAGACTTTGCACTGACTAAATTTTAATACTGAAAAAAACATAATGTTAATATACCTGATGTGACGAGCTAAACATTACATAAATAATTTTAAAAAATCCTGTTGAATCATATTGACTACACCACTTAAGAAAATCTTTATTTTAATGATCTCTTCTGTAGTTAGTTTTGTCTACCCAAATCTCCATTGTAAATTACACGGAATGTACATTTCAAATATCAAGAATGATTTGTTCACTCTCAGATTTAGAGTGTGTTGCATATCAAAGGTGTTAGTTAACTACAAATTCACATTCGCACACAGCCACAGCAGCATAGACACATACACAAGGGAGGCAGAAGGCTGTGGAGGAGAAGATACATTACCAGGTTGCTGCTGTGGGGATGGCTGTACCTGGAGGTGGCAAATCTCACTAGCCCCTCTTGGTACAGGAACACTCTCAGGGGGTCACAGGAGGTCACTAGCACGTACAGACGCAGGTCAAATTTATAGCCATCAATGATGAAGGGCTGCAGCAGAGATTAGGAGTTTATATCCTTTTTATACCCAGAGAGGAACCACTTTCCAATCTGGTTATACAGGAGCCCCCAACTTAAGCAGTAATGTGGAACAATAGTAGTGATTAAGAATTCAGGAAGATATACTGTGGCCATCAATGAATGTTAAGGAAATGGTATTTATTTTTAAAACAAGATTACAACTTAAAATATAAAACTTTTAGTCAACTCTTGAATATTTTAAGAACACTACTCTCACTAATGTGGGTGATCAGCACAAGATTATTAATTGAACTTTAACCTCCTAATTCACCTATAACAACCTATGTTTTTCAGGTACTCATTATGGTACAAAAAGCCAAATGTGGTCAAAGAGGTCTAAGTAAATCCCTACACAATACTGTTGTTTGCTTCAACACTCTGCGATATAATATGTTACAATTCTAATAAGGAAAATATTTCATGGCAGTGTTTTTCCTTTTGTGAAATTGTTGTTTGTGACTATTTGTGGCTCAAAAGCTTCTACAACACCAGTAACAGTTTGGTTTTGCAATCCTGCTGCCCCCCCCCCCCCCCTCCAACACCCCATCCATGGTAGTAGATTTTCCATCCTTCCTCTAGCAATGTGGACAGGCAGATATGCTGCCAGCCAGGCTGTTGCGGACAGATGGTTACCCTGGAGATAAGCAGTTACCTTGGAGATGTAGCTCTGACAGACTATGTGCTCGTCAGGGTTGATGTCCCGGAGGTTGCGGGTGATGTAGATTCCTTTTCCCTGACAGCCGCTGTCCGGCTTGCAGATGAACGTCTTGTTCCTCTTCGCCCGACAGTATGCCTGGAAATCAACGTAACTGCAAAATAGGAGGAGAATTTTGAAACCAGATCTGATTTCTTTCCCGTTAATACTGGTATTGATATTGGAAATAGGTATTTATTTTGAACTCTTTCTCTCATTTTCAGAATGATTTGAAAAAGATGAATTATGCTCTCAATATAACAAAACAATTAAGTCCAATTGGCACCTTCTTTTATGTTTTTGTCAGCATTTCATAGAATTTTTTAAAAACTTCCCGTCTTAAGAAAACATTTTCACATGTCAAAGCTACTGGTGATAGGGGATATGGGCTTTGAAGCTCAACGAAGATTATAATCCTCTATTGTAATACGGTAATCTTTTCACCCACATTCCTACTGCTCTCTCTTCAGTACTGTACTCTGCTCTCTTTCACTACAATCATCTTCACCAAGAAATCATTTTCTGCAGTTAGAAGACAGTGTCTTTAGCCTGAAGATAATATAACCCCTTCATTCACAGTGTGGATAAGTTAGCTTATCTCTAAAAGATCCAACATTGATTTTATTACTTAAAAACACCATCCGAACATAATGACAACAAAACATAATGAAAAAACTGTTATTTTGCTGTCTATCATTCTACCTTTAGATTCAAAATGTATTCCGATTCAGTATTGTTGTTTGGACTGCTTTCAAACTTTACTTTTAGGTCTTTAGAAGTTTGTTCTTACATTTACTATATGAACTGTCTTGTGTTGTTTTTCTAAGTGTATAATATCATTATGACACGGGGGGCAGCTAAGTTTCAGTTGGAATTATTTTGTCTACAATTCTCAGCTTGATTGCCTCATTCTAAAGGATTAAACAATGGCTATTATTTTGTTGTCCCTGAGCTATAAGTCATGTAAAGATGGCCAAAAGTACGGATAATCAAAGCAGTGTTCCTAATACTTTACCCGCGTTAATCAACTTCACTGTTAAATCATTAAGCAATATTAAAAAATATTCATATTCAACCCCTCCTAAGGAGGTCATTTAACTGTAGAGATGAACCATATTACAAATACAGGTAGAGGCATGTAGACTTTAGGGGATGCAAGAACAGAGAAAAAGCAACATTATCATTATCCAGCTTCATCATCACCAGATATTTGTGCCATGGGAGGATGCCTTTCAGACAAAACCAGATTTTGCCCAGGTAATCTGAACACTGAAGGAGTATTGGGCTCTGAGCTTTATTAGAAAAGCAGCTTTTTTATTCTAATCACAATGCAAAAAAAACAACATCTGTCCTAAATTAGGATGTATTGGTTCCCATTCCTTTGTGAGCATCCATTTAGAGAGGGACATTTAGTTCTGGTTAAGATCCAAATTGTTTATTAGAACTGATGTTCTCTGTCTGTGTGCTGTTAGGAGGTTTTGTTATACCTAGATTATAAGGATATAATTCTGGAATTTCCAATGTACAGTAAACAGAAGGTAGGGGACTCACATTTACAGATCTGTAAACATTTGTTCATAGTGTAAGTATTGTAGATTGTGTAATATTGAATTATTGCATGTGTATTATTTATTGTTAACTAATATGATTTTATAAGCTTGGGTCTGGTTATTATTTTGTTATCAAGCTGTTGGAGAATATTATGTATTATGAATAATATTAGCTCCAACATGTTGGAACTATTGGGGAATAACAGACATGACAAGCTAAAATCAGTAATCCCTACTTTTGGGGGGTGGAATCATTAATCTTTATAATTTGCTTGCATAGCAGGCTGGTGTCAGGATCTGATTCCATTACCTAATTGAAAAGCCTCCTAATTTTGTAGTTTCAACATCTTTTTTTGTATGACAATATATTGCTGGTTTAATTCATTAAAACATTATATTTGCATTATGCTAATTCTTGCAGTTTTGTGTAGACAAAGGCATGAGCAAAATCATTATTATCATTATTATTAATCATTATCATCATCATCATAATTATATCTTACTCTGATGGCAGGCACCAAGTTTTTGGAAAGATGTTGTAATCTTTGGGGAAAAGCTTCAGCATCCTGTTCATATTTCTGGCTAGCAGGTCTTTGCGGCAAATCTCACTCATCCCAGGAAAATGGTTTATTTTCTAATTAAAAAAAATAAGAAATTGATTTCAAATTATCTTCAAACAGTGTTATTTTTTCCCTTTCTCTAAAATTCCATTGAGAACTTTAAGCAGAATAAACCTACATTTAAAGGAAATATTTTTCTTCATGCAGAGTGGTATTAAATTATAGGTACTAATAAATCTTACTTTAGTGGACTGCCAAATAAGTGGTGTTTCTCTTCAAAAAATTAAAACTGAATGCATAAATATATACTGTATTATATATATATATGCATTACTATAAACAATATACAGCAGCTTTATAAATCTAAATCAAAGATAAAGGTATTTTAGGAAAAAGTGATACAGTGTTAGAATTACACACCTGACTCATTAGGTTTAGTGTTACTAAGAACAGTCCATAGATCTCTAGCCTCTCATACCTGGTACCTCTTCATGTCCTTGACTCTCTCCATGGAGACAGAGAAGTCTGTCCAGCAGACAATCCAGTCCTCCTTCTCACTTGCTTCCCTCAGGCCTACTGCCTGGGCAGCTCTTCTCACTGTCAACACACAGACATCAACATATCAGCAGCAACATCATCCTGCAGCTCACAACTGACAGCCCACTGAAGCTAAGCAGGTGCGGAGCGGTGGCTCTGTGGCTAAGGATCTGCGCCTGTGACTGGAAGGTGGCCAGTTCAAATCCCGCGGCTGGCAGAGGAATCCTACTCCGTTGGGCCCCTGAGCAAGGCCCTTCACCCCAACTGCTCCAGGGGCGCTGTACAATGGCAGACACTGCGCTCTGACCCCAAGCTTCTCTCCCTGTCTGTGTGTCTGTGTGTCTGTGTCTCCATGGAGAAAAGCTGGGATATGCAAAAAGAATTCCTAATGCAAGAAATTGTATAGGGCTAATTAACCAACATTAACAGGTGTGAGCCTGGTCAGTACCTGGATGGGAAACCTGCTGGGAAAAACTATGGTTGCTTCTGGAAGAGGTATTAGAGGGACCAGCAGGGGGCGCTCACCCTGCTGTCTGTGTGTGTCCTAATGCCCCAGTACAGTGGTGGGGACACTATACTGTAAAAAGATATTGTCCTTCAGATGAGATAGATATATATACTGTATGAGATATATGAGTCCTGGCTCTCTGAAGACATCAAAAAGAGTAGGGGTGTTACCCCGGCATCCTGGTCAAATTTTCCATTGGCCTTTACCAGTCATGGCCTCCTAGAGAGCCTCCTAGAGGCCAGTCATGGCCTCCCTTCTATGAATTGGCTTCATCACTCTGTTCTCCTCCCCACTGATAGCTGATGTGTGGTGATTATTCTGGTGCACTACCCAGGTTGGGCTGTACACTGGTGGTGGTGGAGGGGAGTCCCATTACCTGTAAAGCGCTTTGAGTGGAGTGTCCAGAAAAGCGCTATATAAGTGTAAGCTATTATTATTATCAAGGTTCTTACATGGCCTCCTGTGGGATCTCTTTGTGCCAGTTTAACAGGACACACAAGCCAGACACTCCTTTCTTTGGTGGACAAAAGGGTAAAACATGACACCTCGAGGAGGGACAACAGTTCAATATTACATTTCCACTACTGCAGGCAATGTCCAATCTTCCTGTCTGTTATCCAAAATCCATAGAAATATATGGCATAGTTGGATTTACTTTTGTCCAATCATATAATAAAAAAATTTTGAATAAATAAAATAAAACACTTCTAGAAGATGGAGTTAAGCTTTGGGAAAATTAGAAAGAGTGAGAACCAAAGAGAACAAACTAAACTAAATTTGAAATTGGAAGTGCAACCCCAGCTCACTCCGAATCAGCAAAAAAGCTCTCAATGCAATCCGAAACCAAACCAAAAACAGATGTTACAGCTATGTGAGGGTACCTTTGACACAATAGTTCAAACACTACAGGTGTTCAAGCTCATTTTACGTGCTCCTTTATTCTTAAAGAAAACATCCCCCCACCATATAAGAAGAATGTCAAGGATAATACAGCTCAAATGCCTGCTACCGGAAGAGGTTAAGTAGGTGGAAAAACAAACTTTGTGAAAAAATCTCTCAGGTTTCCTTACCACTCTCATACTTGCAGTTACTCAGGTTTATTCCCAGGGACCTAAGAATAAAAACTGGATCAGATTGCATTCCACTAATATTTAATATAAAAAAACATACATGCAAGTGACCCTTAAATAAAATTACAACGACTTTTTGAAAAGAAAAAAATACATTAAGTTTTGCTGGTGATGGTCCATGAATATTTTGGGCTATAGAGATTCTTCTTAAGACACAAAGATAAATCTTCTAGCTTTATTAAATTTTAAAACAACGACACGAACTGCTTTTCGACTAGGGTAACTCTTGCACCAGAGAAACTGTGCAGTTTACCGTGACTTTTTTCTCTTCTTTATTTTCCTGTGGGAGTCCGACGTGGGACTGCTGTGATCCCCGCCGGGTCTCTTGACAGGTGTTTGGCCCTGCTCGTCTCTGGGGCTCTCCTCGCCTCTCTCTCCCGTCCTGGGGTCCTCCTGTGCTTCTGCCCCTGCCCCTAGAGATCTCTGGGGTCGCTCTTCCTCAGGAACCCCTGACCGCTCCCCCCCCGACCCCTGAACTAGCGAGTCTCCGTCCTCCTCTTCCTCTTCCTTCCCAGACTCCTCTCCTGCCTCACTCTCTGCCCCCGAACCCGAGTTCATTCTGTTCACTCAAGACCTATCAAACCGCATCCAACAGGCAGGCGAGGTCGAAACTAAGCGGCGTAGCAAGCGCCCTGCGTTGACTTGATTATGGCAAAGCGTTAAATCGCTATACCGACGTTTTCCCACCTCAAAAAGAGAAAGAAACCAGAAGTTCACTTGAAAGTTAACTTTCACGCAAGATTCGCAAACGACCACAAACAGTACCGATTAATTATAGGTTACCGATTAATTATTTGCTTAGAAAATGAATTCTGGAAGTTAGAGATATTAATTGTGAGTTAAGGGAAAAATAAAGTTTCTTACAACACCGAGCTCTTTATCTAATGCACGTATATATGTTTACCGTAAGTCAAAGATAACCGATCGTAGCATTATTGTAATTACTCTTGTACTGTTGTTTCACTTAACATAGGACTTATAATAACAATAATACTTTTTAACTGCTTACCATCCGTGTTTTGATCAGCTAGGGACCCCCAGCCTACCTGACCCTTCTGCTTCGTTGTCAACACACCTCCGTTACCTTGGAAACCAGAACGCCAAGCGCTCTGTGGAATGAGTTTTGTGAAGTCTCACGCTGCTTGTATTCAGTTGTGAGTGTGTGTAACCAAATCACGTTAACATCAAATAAATTATATTTTATAGCTCTTCTTCAAGTCGTGTGACAATGCGGTTTTTAAAGTAGTTACACATATAGGTGCACACAAAGACTTTGTCGCCCTCTTCTGGAATCTGTTCTTCTTTAATACTGTATCTCACTCATTTTCGCTATTTTTATGTCGTCCAAAAAAAAAACCGAATTAACAATACAACAACTAAAACTGCTAACATGAGAAAATAAGCCGTTTAGCCGATCAATGCTACTTATTTATGGATTGAAAACAATCTAGAGTTCGAAGAAGGTTCCTGAGGGCTCCGCCATGTGCCTTGTTAATGTATTCCCCGAATTACAAGAGCCATACAGGAGCCTCGTATATGAGGACGTATTTCTAATATTGGCGTAAAACTGACTTTAAAATTGATCAATTTGATAAATATAATAAATGTATTGTAACGCTTACGGCCGACAAGCAGTGTGTGTAAGAGCAGGCGTACCAGAGCAGGTGATGTCACCGCCCTTCCCTGTGATAGCAGGACCACAGCTACTGGGCTGTAGAGAGATCTCTCTTTGGCTCACGGGGCTAGGTCGCTGCAGAGAGACGCGGAAGTCCCGGGTTCGAGCCACCTATACTTTGGGCCGACCAGATGCGGCAAGGGCGCCCGCCTGAGCCCCCGTTGCGTTACAGTATAAACTGTGATTTACCTTAATAGGTCCCTTTAAATATTGAAGATCTAAATGGGATTCCCGCTTAGACATCTTGAACTAAAATTAAAAGATTTGGTTCCTTCAACTTTATCTCCGTAAGCACTGGAATAAGTCATGTTGCTGCTATCGGGCCTTTCTTGAACTTGATCTCTCGTGCAAAGCGCTGACCAGAACTGTGCGCACTACTCCAGACGTCCGATACATTCTTACATTTACTTAACCTCCCTTGCATTGTACGCGCGTACATTTTATATTGCATTTTGCATAATGATGAAGCTAGTACAAACAACAAGCATTCAAAACCTCCCTGTACGAAACAGCAGTACTGTATGATTATTGCTTATCCCTAAAACTGTTTTGCATTTCTCACGGTATGCATTTTACAATTTTCCGAGTCTCATCAATACATCACAGCGCCGAGGCTTATTTTTTCCCTAGTGTCAATGTTCTTTATAAACTACCATAGCACCTACAGTGTCAGAAAGGCTGGCACTTGCTGATCACTGGCAGAAAGATCTTAAACTGCGTTATTAGTGTATACATTTCATAATGATAACGCTAATAATCCTTGCAATGATTGTAACGATTTAAATATTTTTTACAGTGATACTTTTAAAATATTCTTTGTGGTTGTATCTTGTTTTCAGATAACTGAACAACTTAAGAATTGCTGTTAACATTTATGCTCTTTCTAGCGCTGTGCTGTTTTCTTCTATGTGAATCTAGTAAAAACAAAAAGGTCAAATAAAAACACATTGGAAATGGTAATTGTAGGACCAGTGAAGTTTGGCTCCACCTGCTGGAGATGTAATTTGTCGCTGAGGGCAGTGATTATGTTCAGAGTCTCAACTCTCCGACTCATACTCATACTCCGACACCAGTCCAGTGAGAACATGGCAACTAGGTGGGGGATCTGCGGTGCAGGTAAAATCAGCCACGATTTCACTGTGGCCTTGAAAACACTTCCTCCGGCAGACCATGAGGTAGGTCGCTGCAAAAGTTTTGATATTTTCAGTGCAGCGTTCTTGCACGTTTCTTCGTTGCATGTTTTGTAGGTTCCAGGCGTTTAGAAAGCTTCAAAGTAAATGTCGTATCGAGGTTTTAAACAATATATTCTATGTTTTTAAAATGACACGTTCTAAGTGTATACATGACTACAACCAATACCTTTAGTGATACTTGCAAAACAGAGCAAATGTTAGAGTCCTTATATTACACTTGGTTCGCTAACTGGTAAATTATAAATTATTTAACGATAAAAAAGTGTGTGAATTTCTTTTTTTATGGCAAGTTCTGTAATTATCTGAAATGTGCTGAGCTTGCTCTGATGGTTACGTAAAATTCACAGTTTGACCGTAATAATCAGAATAAAAGCGCACCATAACTATTCCACCTTCTCAAAACGAACACAAATATGAACCATTTCTAAAACTAAACTAAAATATTTTAAAACAAAAAAAACTGTTAAAACTCCTAATTTTGTATTAACCCGTAGTTAGTATAATGGTGATAAACAACGGACTGCCTTTATCAAATACTATTTTTCAAACAATATTAATTAATAATTATATTAATATAATGACAATAAACTTGAATTGAACTTAATTACAGACTGAAAGAACACACACACATGTATATTGCATGTGTACCGAATTTAATTCTAACGTGTTTGTTATACATCACGTATAGATTTCCAACAGTGGTCACACATCCCCCATCCTTTCTCTATAGGATTGTCTAAGCAGAGCAAGACCCAAATCCTGTTTTCTTCTAGTAACACCAACATGTCATTTAACGTTTGTTCTGGTAGTGTCAGTCTGAGAAGGTCCTTGTTTTTCTCAGGTTGTGGCAGTGGCAGCACGCGACCTCCAGCGTGCCCAAGAGTTTGCTCAGAGGCATGGCATTCCTCGAGCCTACGATAGCTACGAGAAACTGGCCAAGGATGCAGAAATAGGTGGGTAACCTGGTGACTGTGAAGAGCAGATCTGAACACAGCACAGTTCTGCTCTGCAAAATAATTAAAGCCTGGTATATAGTAAGAGGGAATTACAGAGTGATGAAATGAGCGATCTGACAGATGGTATAGAAATATAGATCTTCTTGTAGGTTTACCTGTTGACTACACTATATCAATGGGCGCAAAAACAGGTTGCTTAGGATAAAAATGGCAGCCAAGTCAATGAAGTAGCAAGTGCACAATAGTCATTTAGTGTTTCCCAAAGTTTAAAATAAAAATCAGTCCACCTGAATTGTGATTTTAAATGGCTATTTCTGTTTCATTTAACTTTTTCTTTCAGCTGGGGAAAGATGTCTCTTATTTGAACAGCGAACAGTGTGTGGCGTTATTTGAAACGAAACCATCTGTGGAGATTGATAGTTAACAAGTGGGAAGTGGAACGTGTTTATAGCATTTCATGTTATTAAGCAGGCAGTTTTGCATCCACAGACCTCAAACGTCAGTGTTTAATTGCAGCTCGTTTTTCTTGGCAGATGTGATTTATCTTGGACTGATTCACCCTCACCACCTCAAGGTGGGCCTCATATTCCTAAGATCCAAGAAGAATGTGTTGTGCGAGAAACCCCTCGCCATGAACTCCAGAGAGGTGCAGCAGATTATAGCGGCAGCAAAGGAGAACGATGTGTTTCTAATGGAGGTTAGTCTCTATCGGACACAGTTGTTTTGGAGAATGCAGCAGAGATTTAGCGAGCATTTCGGGTGATCAGGAAAGTGCTCGTGCAACGCAGCCATTGGATTTAACCGATGCCACCGTGTAATTGGACTTGGACAGTATGCATAAGTATGGTTCCTTTTGTTCCTCCCTCAGGCAGTGTGGACGCGTTTCTTCCCAGCGTCTATCAAGATCAGCAATCTCCTGGCCCAGGAGGCTATAGGGGAGGTCAAGCTGGTGGACGTAAGCTTTGGAGCTCCTCTGCAACACATTCCTCGGGCCGTAGAGAAGGAGCTGGGGGGTGGAGCCCTGCTGGATATTGGGGTCTATTGCTTGCAGTTCGTGTGCATGGTTTTCAACGGAGAGAAGCCTGAGTCCATTAATGCCACTGGAGTCTGTCTGAATACAGGTAGGAAACTGTGTACTGTGCTCTTGGGGCCAAAGATCATTTGCTCTGTCATAAAAACTACCACATGCCTTTTACAGGATGTTTGATTGATAGATTGTTTGCTATGTCATTGTCGCCGTCTCACTCTCTTTGGCATGTGGTGTGACTGAAGAAGTGTAATTAGAAAGAAATGTCTGTTGCTCATATCGTGCTTGAATACAGATTTTATCTTTGCAATATTCATTTTCAGCATCATGCAAGAAAGTAAGAAAATGTTGAAGTGTTGAATAATTTTCAGCAACATGAAGTGTAGGGGCCGTGAAGGAAGTGGTCAAGTACGGACATGCTATTATCAATGTTTCAGGTGTTGACGAAGCAATGGCTGTAGTCTTGAAGTTTTCAAGGAACAGAATGGCTGTATGCACATGCTCCATTTCTGTCCAGCTGTCCAATGAGGCCACCATCTTTGGCACAAAAGGGACCATCAAGGTATGCTGACATTTAGCACATAGGCTGGGAAGCAGTGATGGCACAACCCTTGTCTTGAATCATGTACATCTGTTGAGCAGCAGGACATATGTTTTGAATTTTACTTCCACTGGTCAAGCATCAGATGACATTTTAATGCATTTCTGGTGGAAGATGCATTTGCAAGGGATGGGCAAATCCAATGCTATCCATTTTTTTACCCTGATTTCATGTTCGGCACTGATCAGTGTTTTAAAGCTCTCAGGTTTGTCGTCCTAGATCCCAGAACACCAGTGGTGCCCCACAACATTAGTCGTGAACGGTGAGAAGACTCAGTACCCACTGCCAGAGCCATCTATGCCACTGAACTTCCTCAACAGTACTGGGATGCGCTATGAGGCTGAGGAGGTCCGTCAGTGTCTACTGAAAGGTATGGTTCACTTTCTGGGATGCTTAAAAGACAGGTTTGAATTCAGGACTAGGACTAGTGTTTGATACTAGTTTGGACGTAGGTTGTCCGGGGTTGGATCAAGTCATGGTCAGACCTGGTCCTGCAGGAAGTGGAAGTCACAGAGCCGTAGGTTTTGAATCACCATGTGTTTAAAGCTTACAAACATTTCTGATTCCGTCATTTTAGCAAGTTACTGGTTCAGTTAGTCAAGGAAGGACCTTGTTCCCACCCCTGAATTTTTAGAAATTCAGAAGGCTAGAGGTGTCTTATCACAAATCAAGGATACCTAACTAGTTGTCTTGCCCTTATCAGTAACCACTTACCTCTGTGCTAAATTCTTAATCAATTTCAATACACTTTCTAGGTTTTCTACATTAGTTCAAATAGGGAGCTGCATCAGCACGCATAGGCTGCAAAGGAAGAAGCAAATCTTTATTCCATGCTGAGAAACGAAGAAAAGTAATGTTTTTGATGTGGAGCCTTCTTCAGGTTGTTTTTCTTTTTTTTCAGCATGGAATAAACCTTTAATTGTTCCTTTGCTTCCTGTAACATAGGTTTGAAAACTGAACTTCCATCTTAAACAGCATCAGACTTGTTTAAATAGAAGTATGTTCTATAAAACACAAGAAGGCTGGAAAATATAAAACCAATTGTTGTGAAACAACTCATGGCTATTTCATCATTGCTCGGACACGAGTTTTAAATCAAATCAATACCTAATACAAAAACAATCTAGGCTGTGCAGCCCCTAATTGTTTTTCATTCTAATTACAGATGATTCTTGGTTGAAAGCTATCGCAATAAATATCGAGTTGAAGAACCATTACCATTCTGGATGGATAGAGCATAGAAAAAAAAGTTTGTTGCCATTTAATGTGGGATGTTAACGAAAGATGCTGTTTTCCAGGTCTTAAGCAGAGCCCTCGCATGACACTGGCTGACTCTGCTCTCCTGACCGAAATCATGGATGAAGCCAGGAGCCAGGTTGGAGTTGTGTATATCCAAGATGGTGTCTGAGCCTGGAGCACCACACTTCCACGTTCCATTTCTGGGATCACAATAAACCAGCCCTGTCCTGTACAACTGATGCCCATTTAAGCAGTGCATTCCATTTAACATTAAAGTGAAATCACTTACATTCAATCTGTTTCCCCGCAGAGAAATCTTTTGGATATTTTTTACTTTTTTGGATCTTGGTACATAATAGATGTTAAGATAAGATCACTTTATTGGCCATATACAATTTCTTGTCTTAGGAATTTGTCTTTTCGCATACCCCAGCTTGTTCTCCATGAGACACACAGACAGGGAGAGAAGCTTGGGGTCAGAGCGCAGGGTCAGCCATTTTATACAGCACCCCTGGAGCAGTTGGGGTTAAGGGCCTTGCTCAGGGGCCCAACGGAGTAGGATTCCTCTGCCGGAATACGAACCAGCAACCTTCCAGCCACAGGCGCAGATCCTGAGCCACAGAGCCACCGCTCCACCTCCTATTAACTAGATGTTAATAGTTTATATGGATCTCAGCTGTTTGTCATGTTCTTGTTTTTTTGAAGCTTAAACATGGTTGCAAACCCTTCAGAGATAAAAGTCTATCCTTATAATAGCTGGAATGCCTAGATTTGTACCCCATGGTTGGGTTAGTAATATGAAGAAGTTCATCTTCTAAATGAGTAAGATATTGAAAAATGGAAACTACTTGGTGGCATCTGCTACAGATGGGTTCTATGTGCTATTTCAGAAATACTGGAGACAGTTATAATAATTATAATAATTGCTTACACTTATATAGTGCTTTTCTGGACACTCCACTCAAAGTGCTTTACATGTAATGGGGACTCCCCTCTACCACCACCAATTTGCAGCATCCACCTGGTGTATTATAAAATGGAAAAAAGGTATGTCCTTATTCTCCCTTTAAATAAAACCTGAAATTAAGGAGTGTTTGTTTGAAAAGTAAAATTAATATTACATTTAAATTCAGGACCCCTTAGTTTAAATTTACAGATGCACTATAAGCTGTACTTCTTTGGAAAGCTCAGTTTAACAGTAAATGTAAAGCAAAAAGAAAACAGGTGAAATTACACAAATCTGTTAGTACAATGACAATATTTCAGTACCGCTGCATAGTTACATTAATTACTTGAGGCTGAGACTTAAAGAAGATGGGAAACTGGTGAGTGATAGCACATTACCAAGCAGGGTCACAACTCTGTTGCCGAGATATCTTTGAACATGTTCTATGATCTGTTAGAACTACAGTACATAATTTGTGTAGACAAAATATTACTTCAAAAGCTGCACTTTCTAGATCACAGGAGATCTTGATGGCAATACTAGTTTTTCCAAAATGCAGATCTGTTCCTAAACCACAGAAAATAACAGCCTTTCTTCACTCTTATACCAGAGAATTACTGTCTGGAATCCAGCATTTTTTTCAACTGAGGTGAGTTTTCAAACTGAGCAATACACATCCAGTATATAAGGATGCCAACTCAAAAATATATACAGTACAGTAACAAGGATCGTGGATTTCCTGAATTTTACATTATCTATCACAGAAAATAAAGAGAACTGTACTTAAAGATCAGCAGCTGAAAAGTGCCAATCCTTAGTACAGGTATAGTAAGATTTACTTTAGTAAACTGACGTTCCATCCATAATTCACAGGGATATAACTGGTTATTTTATGTACTGTAGATTAATTTATAGGCATTCTTTAGCAATTTAAAATTCTGGTCAGAAGTAAAATAAGGGGGACTCGCAAAAGCAGCAAAGAGAATTTGTCTTCGGATTCACATGCAGGTGAGCTTGAAAGAAAGATCAGTGTATCTTCTCTCCAGTTTTGAAATAAGGTTAAATACAAAATAAAAAGTGGCAGCAGGACAAATTTGAGTATACAAATTTGAGTAACTATACAAATTAATATTGCATAATTGTGCATTATTTTATGTGCTAGTAAAATGTTAGTATTTGAGCCTAATGTGACTATTTGGTTCTCTATTCTTTGTATGTAATTTTGAATGTGAACTTTTTTTATTATAACTGGCTATAAATTCCAAAACTAATCTGCAAGTACAAGTATTAAAAGGGCCTTTGATATACAGGTAATCCCCACAGAGAGAATCCCACGTTTAATGACTGAAACAGCACACAATGGCTGATTCAATTTTTACTGATCGCACTGCAGCTTTTTCAAATGAAACCGTTGTATTCAGAAACAAAAGAGTTTAGCTTTGCATGGGACCTCTCTAGAAGCCTCTCAGCCACAGAATGAAATCAGCACTATTTAACAGACCTGTGAATTTCGGCACTACCAAAATTAACCTGCCACTGTTTACCACGATAAAGTCACACGTTCAATACCTTCTCAAGCAAGACTTCTGGCTCCATAAGAGCAGGTACAAATAGCCCTAAGCAGATTGTCTCTATTGCAGTGAATCAGACTAGATGTATGACCAAGTTTAATATTTTTGCATCCTTTTATTAAAATACCTAAATACAGCACCCGAGCAAATCAAAATTTAAGTTCATAACACTAATGAGACATAAAACAAGTGCCTAAACCACACTACTACAATGTCCTCTGGTTGACTGTTTTGGCTGCATAGAAATAGTTCTTTTCTAGACAACAAAGGTATAAGGAACATGTATAATTTTAATGCCTGATTATCTAAGGATAGGCCCCAGATTAATAAGAGGCTGAAATACCTCAAATTGAAGTTGTTCCTTATTTTGATTAACTACTAACAACCAAATAAGCTTGTGACATTTTAGGCTCACTCCTGTTTATTTAAAAAGCCACATTTTGGTATTATGCATCATAATATACAAAAGCAACCAACACTGCATTCTCAGTTGGGTGTTTCACTGGAGCAATTGGTGATGCAACTCGGATCTCAAGTGAACAGCAGCAGTGTCTTGAGATTTAAACCAACAAGTTTCCTGCAGAGCCCAGGGTTTGTAAACTCATTTATAATTTGAGTCTTGATTTTGTGGGAATATATTTTAGCATTTAATAGTACTGAGGAGCTAGAAGTAATGAATTTGCCTTCTACTACAGTATGAACTATACCTTGGGGTTAGGTGCAAAGAGCAGGATTAGCAGTATTACAGGCAAAAAGATTTAACGTTCCAGTCCAATATGTTGATTTCACATGAAAGTTTATATCCTGTACACTGGAAATGGGAATTTGTAGATTCAAGAAAAAAAAAGCATCCTCATTTGGTGCTTCAATAGGCTGCCAATTTGGAGTTGTAGGGTGACCTAGCTGCTGGCTGATATTGTCCTTTGTCAGTGAGATTTTTTTTAAACATGTTTCTTGTAACAGAATGCAACAACCTGTTATTACCTATTTTAAACTGACAATTTATGAAGGATTTGTATCAAAAGGAAATGCAATATAGCGGACCACAAGAAAGTTAACTGTCCTCATAGTGACCTTTTAATAAGGCTAATTACAGATCCTCTGATTGTATATCGCAAGTGAGGGAAGGCTGGCTGAAGGTTCTAAAACCACCAGATTAGCACAGAGAGAACATCGTAATCTGAATGACAAACCTAAGTGATGTTTTGAACACCAATACATAAAATAGACAACACAAAGCATTTTAAGAAGTAAAATGTGAATTGACAATATAACTTCATATTGAAATAGTGCATTATACCATATAACAATTTACTAGGAACTTAAAATGGATTTTAAACAAAAACTAAAGTGAGGAGTTTTACAGGGTGGCCTGTGGTGGGGGATAAATCAAATAATGAAGATACTGATTATAAAAAGTACACCCCTAAAACCACAAGGAGAAAACTTTAAATAACACTTTCTTTGGAGAAATCAAAGACTGGAACAGATCTTCAGGATGGTTTCAATGGAAAATCTTATTTGTAGCTCTGCTTGATGGTTTATGTTCTATAAGATTTTACTAAAAGGTGTGCATGGTCATGAAAACAAGACAATGTCGGGTGCTCATCATTTTATTGATGGAAATCCAGTCATACAGGACAACTTGATACACCACATTTTCTGCCTTTTCTCCTTATAATTTTAACTCAACCAGAAAGCAAGTGGGGACAACAAGAACACACAAACAGGACACCAGCATAGGTTCTAGCAGAGTATGGGCATGGGCTCCACCTGCAATGTGTGACAGGGGAGCAGATGGTGGGCGTGGGGAGTAAACACCCCCTCTACAAAGGCCTTAACATGCTGAAGCTTGTCTTGAGCCAGTGAGACTCGGGCACAGAACTGGTTACCCATAAGAGCTGAACTCTGTGATGCACTTGGAGTGGTTTGCTTCAAGCAGGCTGTTCTTTATTCAGAGCTACCTCATTTCAATCAGATCTATTTAGCATCAGTGAAAAAGTTCTGATGGAATATTATCCTCTGCTTCCCCAGCACTATCTCAGACATTACCAGAGGCTTGTCGTCCCTTACACCTTCAAGGCCCACTGTGCAGCTGGTCAACACTGTCCCCTTATCGAATAAACTGGCCATTCACCCACCAACCAAACCCTAACGAGTGCGCTTAAGTACTACGCTGTGCCACTACAGAAGTCTGAACCTTGGTTTCTACCACTTTCAATATTGCAGAACTGCAACTGATCATCCATGTAAAAAATATGGATTATTGGCCCACCATCTGTTCAGGACTCAATGATTTCAAACATTACACAAAACCTAAAGTGGAGTGCAGCATTTAAATACAGGACAGAAGACAACAGACACACAAAACAGGAACCTAGAGTAGCAGGGAGGTCCAGGCAACTCAATTTTAAAACTAGAACAAAAGGGAACGTTAATGTAATCCATCAGGAAAGAGGTAAGCCTCATTAAAAAGATGGTTGATATCAATAAAAAGAGCAATGGAAAAAAAAGATTTGTTCATTAGGTGGCATGCCTAGCTGTACACATTTAAGTCACCCAGCATGCCACAAGAACGTTCTTATTTTAATCAGAGGCCTTCTGCTTCGTTATTTTGTTCTCTATAATCTTACCAAACAGAGCAGGCTGACAAAGACATCCAGATTAAATTCCACTGATGAGTTCTGTGCAAGGATTCCTTTAATAAATACTAGAGATAGATGGTAAGTGCTCTGGTAACTAGAAAGGCTGGAGTGTGGGAGAAGAAAAAAAATTCACAGACTGGAGCAGTTTTGGTTAAAATAAACATACTAAGTGGGCCTCAGAAGGGCCAGGTGTTCTTGTCTTGTTCTTTACTGTAAGGAGTGTTTGAGGGGGGAGACAGCAGAAAATGAAAGGAGAGGGACCTCGCAAGCTGCCATAGGATAAGGGAGGGGAAGGACAGTGAAGGGGAGTCCCTCGGTTTAGGGTACAGGGACCACACGCATGGTGTTAGTGTAACCAGAGCCCGGGCGCCAGCCAGTCAGCACAATGACCACATCACCCGTCTTGAAGAACCCACGGGTCTTCCCTACAAGAGAGGGAAAATGGGTCACAACAGCTCTGTGCAGGTTTAACAAAGATGCCGCACTTCACTGAATTCAAGTGAGTGAAAATTTTAATGCATTTTAGACAAGAACCTATGAACGACTTCCAACCTACATGTTTTACAGAACAAGAATGCTAGGCAGACCGTAGTCACCTCCGTTTTTAGTTTCACCTTCGACGTAAATATAACAAACTCCAACTCCTCCTTGTTCACATACCCAGGTATGAAGCCTGCTTACCGATCTCCATGGCAAAGTTAACACGCAGATCGACATCCTCTGCCCACACATCATTTGCAGGCTGAGTGTAGAGCACGGGGAAGATGCCGCGGTACAGGTGGGCCTGGCGTGCTGTCTGCCCGCTACGAGTCACTGCAATGATCGGGGCGCGGGGGCGGTATCGGGAGATCAGGTGGGCCGATCTAAAAGAAAAGGGACAAGTGGGTTCAACTTTGGATTTTCAGATACTGAAAGAGCTTCAATATTAAATCACATGCAGTCCCAGTGGAGAACAACCCAATTTTAAAAGGTGGCCATTTATCAATAACCTTTCAGCACCTTCACAAAGGTTTTTTGATTGCACATACTCCATGTAAAACTGGCATCACTATCTTGGCACTGCACTTTAACATTCACTTTTGCTAGTCATTTAATCACCTAAACAATTTTCTAAGAAGGTAATACAGAACTTAAGCAACAGTCACTTGAATGTGTCATGGTCAGTCATGACTGATCAGAATACAATCTTTTCCAAAAAGAAAATGTTCCATTTATATCACTTCAGAAAAAATATTGTAAATGTAACATTTATCAGCTTAGAATGTCAAAGCTTTTACAAGTTAGAAAAAGTATAAAATTTTCAGATTTGACAATTCAGTACACAGATGAAAATTAACAAAGGTTCATCATACATTCCCCTGATTGCTTAAGGCAAATCAGAAACATTCTAGACTAAAAAGTACCTACTCCTGAATTTCAGGCAGAGTCAACAAGACCCTATTCTCTTAAAATATAAAGTAACAATTCCTATAAGGGGTGACAGTAATTGTGAATTGTCATACATGTTCTATGACAATTCACCAAATGCCAAATTCAGCCCTTCACTGCTCAGAGCAGATTGATAAGTAGGACTTGTATTGTGTTAGAGGTTACTGGAATAGTAATTTCCAAGACATTAGACCAAAAAGTATATAAACATCACACAGCCAAGCTATTTTAAAGTGTAATGTGGCTGTGCAAGTTTTCTGAAAAGGGAGTTATGAACAAAGCCTGGGGCCATTAAATTAAAGCTGTAGCTGTAGGCACAGTGGAAAGACTTTGCCATCTAGAGTTTACGGCTCATTTTCTCCAGAGTCACCTGTTAATATGGATTTATCCATTCCTCCTCTGATTAACTTCTTAATTAATATTATTGAAATCTGAAAAAATGGTTTATCCTCAAAAGGTTTCTGCACATTTTAGTATTTTAAATTTAAGTTACTGTCAACTTACTGAGAAATTTGTCTACAATAGTCTACAAAATAGTATTTTAACTGCATCTGCTTGGTATGTAGGAATTTGATCAAACAGATGAAAATTTTCATTTGAAGTGTCACTTGAGAAAATGGTAATACAACAATGGATTTTGTTATTTCATATTTAATGGTTAAGATCCTCTTTTTATAGAACTTAAAATGGGTCAAGGGACTAAGAGCTCCATGAATCCATGAATTTTTAGTGACCCAAACTAAGTCGATACTGGTTTTCATTCATACAGTAGCATTTTAATGAAGGTTTTAACTGAACCGGATATTAATTAGTTTGGTAATTTAAGCAGTTTGTTTCCCACGTTTAATATTTTTTTACATGCACACTTGACTTCGATTGACAGGATACCAGTCTGCAGCAGCACAGTGCATTGGAAATCACTCTTCTGGCAGTGGTACAGAGAAGTGCATTCCTGTATTTGACAAACGGGGGGGTGGGGGGATAAGGATGAGGTGCTGCATGTGACCTCTATGGCTCATTCTAGTTGGCTGAATCTGTACCTCAAAATCATTCCTCTTCAGGGAAAGATGCACTGTTATACTGCTCTTCTGCTTATCCAGACAGCTGGAACAGAACTAAAAATAACTTCAGAAATGTCAAGGATCAGGACTCAAAGGTCAGGAGACCTAACTGCAGTGTAGAGTACTGCAGAACCCTCTCCGTCAGTGTAGCAACAAGGGTATGTGACCAAATTAGAAAGGCAAACTGCAATGACTGATGGGGGGGGCAGGTAGCCGAGAAGTATTTCACATTTCAGAAAAAACAAGTTGAACTATTAGAGGTGTAATAAAATAACTTCCTCTCTGCATGCCTTTTCAATGGATTTAAAAATGTTGACTAACAAATAGAACTGAAATTGCAATATTCTCCTACATCTGTGTACCAAGATCAGCAACCCACAAAGAATTACTTGCAGCCTAAAGAAAGCCAGAGAAAGTTGACATCCATAAAAAGTACCAGATTCTTACATCCTAAAGCCCCCCAAAACCTTAAAACTGCTAGATCTCCAATGGGAAGCATGTGCCTGTATCCTTCCACAGCTCCCCCTATGAAGGGAGTATGCACATCTTACCTTGGGGATCCCCCGCGAGTCAGAGCTCTCCCCTTACCTGCCAGACTTGGTAAGAACAATCAGAGCGCTGGCGCAGCACTTGAAGGAAGACTCAACAGCACCGATGGCAGCTGCTTCAGTGGGATCGCGAGTCAGGGGAGACAGACGACGCAGCTCTTCAAATTGCTGCCTGTGGAACACAGCTGCCTCTGCTTCCCGAGCAATCTGCAGCCACCAGAGCCAGTCGGGGAGGGGGTAACACAGTCAGACCACTCCACAACCACCAGGAACAGCACTCAGTACATTGTGATGTGAACAGATACAGCAAATTAAGATTAATCAAGTCTTTTCTTCATTATTAGCTCAAATAAAATGGCTTTCAAAATGCCACTTTACTATCCTTCACATCACAATTTATTCCCAAACACCGCAATTTTCCATCACCTTACAGACTCCACCGCAGACCCTGAATTGCTTGCTCACCAGGCTATAAAATGTCACACTTTAACAGCCAACCTTACCCCTTCAGCAAAAGTGTTGAAAACAACCCGGCCAGTAAGCAATGCATTTAAAAATAATCCTCCACAAATCCAAAAACAGCACGAGAACAGAATCCTCTGGACATAGGCTGCATTGCAAATGCTGTACCCCGGATTGTTGAAGACTTTTGGAGAAGGTGAAGGTGGCATTATCGCCTTCTTTGTCTGCCTACCTGCCAGACCCGGTCAGTACTATGAAAGCTGAAGCTAAGATCTTAAAGGAGGCCTCGACCGCGCCAATGGCAATAGCCTCCGCGGGGTCGCTCGAGTACGGCGTTATGCGGTGCAGATCTTCAAACACCTGGCGGTGGAAGATGGCCGCTTCGGCCTCCCGAGCGATCTGCCACCAAAGCGCAGGCATGGAAGGTGAAGGAGCACACAGGGTAAGAGGGAGAAGGGCAGAAGACAGGAAGGTGAAGCAAAGTGGTTTAGTTCAGTTAGTAAGAGAAAGAAGGATGTTAAAGGCAAGTCAGATCAAGAGAACCTAGACAGGTGCAGAACATAAGCCTCGGGCACTTCAAGCGCCACTCACAATACAATTAAACTCCAGCCATAACAAGCCTTGATTTTCCACAAGATCAATAGCAGATTTTATTCAATTCATCTTTTGTATACAGCAGCCACCTAAAAGGGCATGCATCATAGTGATGAACTCAAACCAGTATGCCAACAGCAACATGTTTTAATTTAGCTGTTTTTTAAATCTATTAAAATATGAAAACATATGAAAAAGGCCTGTGACGTTTGACTATTCTTAAAACCCCCACGGCTGTTAAGAATGCCTTATAAATCAATTCAGAAACGCAGGCAAAAAGAGATGCAAATGTATTGGAATAACATTGCTAACAATTCCAGGAGGTAAATGTTCTGCAATTGGGAAATTTAAGAAACTTCAATTCCAGTGAGTTCAGGCAACGTTAATGTGCAAGCAAGAGTCAGGAGCCTTAAGGAGGCTATTGAAAATACAGGATCAGGAAAGTACATTTTTGGAGTATATTGTGCTCGTTGTGTCCCAGAATATCCGCGACTACGCAGTTAGCTTAAGAATTTTCATAATTACTGTGAAAATTCGATATGGTATCCAAACCATGTGACCTGTTGACAATTTTCTATCAACCTTCACAATCCTGCCAAATTTCATAAGCATTTGAAAAAGAATCAGTTTACCCACAGATCCTGTTCTAAACTGGAGATCTGCTCTTGAACAAAATCATTTTAATTGAAAATAAACCTGTACTGTATAACAGGGTGAGCATTACACCTTTATAATGGTTAAAACTGGATGTAAACTACTTTGTATGCAGCTTTATATACATTCAATATTCATGGGTTTTGCATTAGTCCAAGAAATTATCAATACTGAGCAACTTTGCTACTATTGCCAATGATCAGAGTAGCAGCTGAAAAAAATTAACTTAAAATAGGTCTTTCAAAAGTTTTAAAAATAGAAAAACTGTCCTCATGGTGGAGAATGGATGTCAGCTTGCACATATTGGTGGCACAGTAAAGTAGAAGCACACACATTATGCAAAGCTAAACTTAACAACCTATATAAATAGTTCAGCTGACAATGAATGCTGCAAAATGTTGCCATGTGGGCATAAGTTAATATCTATAAGAATATATACACATTACAAATTTTAGACCGATCTTGGATTCCTGTGGGTAATAGCGTGCATCAACATTTTACGCCATTACAGACAAGGTGAGAGGATGATCAGCAGCTCAGATAAAGGGCAGAGAGCTCACCATGTGCTGCATGCGGACAGCCTCCAGGGGGTAGTCTCCCTTGGCTGTCTCCCCACTCAGCATGATGCAGTCGGCTCCATCCAGCACAGCGTTGGCCACATCGCTGCCCTCAGCACGGGTGGGCCTTGGCTTCTTAATCATGCTCTCCAGCATCTAAAGGGAAAGAGGGCGAGATCTATTAAAGGACACCTTTATTCCAAAGGAAACCTAAAATGAACTTTTCTTTGCCACCAGGCCCCTAGGCTCTACAAACTACAAACAAGGCATACGCACCTGAGTGGCACAGATAACTGGCTTCCCAGCTTTATTGCAGCGACCAATCATCATCTTCTGTGCAAGAAAGACTTTTTCAGCAGGAATCTCAATACCAAGATCTCCACGAGCAACCATGATACCATCGCTGGCTTCCAGAATCTCATCAAACCTGCAACAGGAAAGGTAAGATTACTTCAATAACTTTCAACACCACCATGTCTGCAACTTTAAAAACTGCCACATAACACTACAAGCCACAAATTCCCACATTTTCTACTCACCTGCGCACACCTTCATGGTTCTCAATCTTGCTGATGATCTTGATGTTCTTGCCCTTCTCCCCCAGCACCTTTCTCACGGCATGAACATCAGCAGCCTTGCGGATAAATGAGGCAAAGACCATGTCCACATCTTGTTCCACACCAAACTGCAGGTCCTGGACATCCTTCTCAGAGACAGCGGGCAGGTCCACTGCAGCCCCAGGGAGATTAACACCCTTCTTGCTGCCCAGAGAACCTCCATTTTCAACCTCGCACACACAGAAGTTAGAGCCTATAACCAGACAACAGACCCATAAAACATGTTGATCAGTCTCAAAACAGCTCAGACTTCTCAAAGAAGCTCTGGGAAGGAAAAAATACCATTAGTTTTAGATTTTATATAAACTGATTGTTTAAGATCAGCCTTAAAGCTCAGTTTTTAAACACCCCTGTCTGAATCTCCTTTCAAGTTGTTTGCAATAAATATATAACTTGCCTTCTGTTTAACAAGTTCTATAGCAATGTCTTATGCGACCTCATGGTTGAAAATCCAACAGCTTCCATTGGAAATGGCCAAAAGTCTTTCAATTATATTTTGGTTCACATCCAGTTCAGAAATTTGGAATAGTTCACCATCAGCCCATTTCTGCAGACAGTAGTTACTAACACCTGCCATACTCTATGTAGTCTTACCACAGGTTACAAATGCCACTGCTGTTTAATATAAATAGATTAAATCTCCACTATTTTAAATACTAAATGTGTGTACAAGATACAGTTGACTCTGAAGACATTACCCTTCTCTTTCACAAGGAGGGAGATGAGCCCGTCATCCACATAGATCTTGCTGCCCACTTCTACCACCTTGGTGAGGTTCTTGTAGTCAACCCAAAGAGTGTTTTCATCACAATTCTCCTTGAAGGCATCATCAAGTGTCACTTTCAGTTCTGCTCCCTTCTTTAGCTCCACCTCAGCAGTGCCACTCTGCATGGTACAGTGAAAAAAAAAAATCAACTCGGGCCATACATCTACAACATTATGGAGGGCCTGCAGAAGCAGATCCAACTACCACATTTGTGCTCTGAAAGGAGTGTAAAACACTTAGTCATTATTCATTGTAATGGACACCAGGAATCTATTCAATACAGTATCTCCTGCAAAACTACTTATGGAAAGAAAACACCCTTGGTTTAAGTATTTAAAAACTAGAGTAAAAATCTCTCACTCTGCAGGACTAGCCATAAAAGCTATGGACAATCCATTTGTGGCTTAAAGGTTTTTTTGTCCAAGCAGAGGTGCCTGGGATACTCACTCCCTTGATTAGGCCAGTTCTGATCTCAGGTCCCTTTGTGTCCAGAGCCACAGCGATGGGTCTGTAGAGGATGGGGTTAGCGGCAAAGCTCTCTGTGGCTTCACGCACATTCTTGATGGTTCCTTCATGGTACTGAAAAAGGGATAAAAAGGATCAACCAGGGCAAGATCTCAATGGCATTTTCTCATTTTGAATAATTCACTTAAGAACACCTGAGAAAATAAAAGGTTTTGAGTTAAGCAACATATTCAGCAACCAATTAAAAATTACCCCTTAACAGGCTCCGAGAGCGCCACATGAATGTTAAAAATCTCTATTTCCCAAATCAGCTAAGGCCCATTCACAGAATGGCATGTGGCCATCTGGCATGCCTCATGCTCACTGTTATACATTACTATTGTACTGACAGAATCTAGTAATAAACCTTTAACATTCTTCTAAAAGGTAAAGTTGAGAACCTTTAAAACCCTTTCTTCAAGTTCATCCTAGACTAGTTTCATACTTACAATACCAAGGCATACTTTTGAAAGAACATTCCACACACACACTAGGAGCACTTTTCCCCCCAAGTGTAAGGCTGCTCCAGTTAAGTTGGTTTCAGCTCAACTCTTGACTCACTTTAAATCTCCTGGAAAAAGAGGACCTCCAGGACCAGAGCTGGGTGCTCCTGCACTATCTTAATGAAAAAGGTTTCCCCATAAGGCCTTTTAGGCTGAACACTCTAGTTAGGCAAGCTTCCAGAAGTGGACCTGGATCAGGTTTTCACACACTGGCTATGAAAATGCAAATCATGCAGATATTTCTATCAAGAATCCAAAGTTTATTTACAGATAGAAAAACTGTCTGAACTGTACCAAACAGGGAACAAAATTGCAGAGCTTTCCATTTTCTCTCTCTAAAAAAAAAAAAAAAAGTACAATTCTTTGATTTGCTGTATTCAGCATGTCTAGACAAATGAAAACACTAATATACTGAAACCCCAATGGCTAGGCTGGTATTTTAATGTATTTGACCAACAATGAATCATGAATAAACAGGTCTCATCTCACCCAGTCTTTTCAAAAGACCAGGGATTTTCCTCTTGACCACAGAAATACAAAAGGCCCTGCTGTATGCCCCATCTCTCTACAAAGGAGCTTTGCATTTTCACACAGTCAGTACTCTAACCTCCAGAGTGTAGGTGCCCATTTAACAGACTTAAATTATATTTGTGCAAATGCAACACTCACTTAAGACATTAAGAACTATTTCCTTACACAGTAAGCATTTCAGACTGGGGAAAAGAATATTGCAGACATCTCTCTGTAATCTACAAAATGTACCATCTGCTTGAGCAGAGTATAGGCCACCTTCTGTGAGAACTATTCATCTTTAAACTGTAGTTTCTGCCCATGGGCCAACCAAAAAGGAAAAGACTTTCAAACTTTATTAGCCTGTGAACTTCACATAAAACACTAGGTTAAAAATGGAACAATTATATAAACCTCAAAATATTTAAAAAATAATGCATTACCAATACAGTTATGAAAAGGAAGACTTTGATGGACACTGCCTTTACCAACTACTGAAAGTTTGTTTCCACAGAAGATACTCTAGAAACAAATGTATAACTCTCAAGACACTTTGGAACTCAATTTGCAACAAAGTCTCAGATACTAAGCCTGCTGCCCAATATCCAAACAACAGGAATTACTGAGCAGTGTTATTTATACCGGACACACATAAAAGATATATATGGAAAGCTGGCAGTCATAGATAACATATTTATAGTACTTGAGGTCAAGTCATAGATATCAGGTTTCTTTTGCTCTTCTTAGTGAGCACAGACACCCTTTGCCCCTCACCACCCTAAAATACCAATGCTCCAGAAGACCTTTGACAATTCTGGTTATATTCCCTCCAGACAAACACTGATGTTTTCTTAATGTTCTTTAAGGTTGGATGTTGATAAAAGAAATATAGGGGCTTATCTATAACCATGAAAAGGATTAAAGCCAGCAATAAGAATTTGACATTTTGGTTTAAGGTCTTCCTACAAGAATCCTCCCCTTAAGCTTGGAGAAGTCACCCTCACTTTTAGCAAATCATTCTACCCGAGCTTTGCAATTTTCTGTTTTACAGTAGGCAAGATTCTATAATCTACTAAAATGTGAGCCCGTTATATGTTGAGATGCTGTGTAGTGCTATACAGAGGTGTACTCTTGGCACCAATATCCACCCTAGATCACACAGACTAGACAGGCTACAGGAACGGAGAAGGGGAGGTAAAGAACACTGAAAGGTCATATCTATAAATAAAGGCAGTCAACAGCCGCAGTGCTACCGCAAAGGTTACACACAGCTGGCCAATGCTACCACGTCGGGATACACAGGACTACCAAGACTCAGAGCTGGAAGCAGATTACTACCAGAACGAAAGGTCACTCCTCCCAAGTAGAAAAGACCTCTTCACTGAAAGACAACATTCTCCTTTCTGTTGCAACATTAAGAGAATCCCTAGCAGCTACACTAAAATAGTCACAAATACTCAATAACACTTAAGGAATCACTAGTCTTTCAGAAGGGTAAGACTTTATAACAGATGACAGATGCCAGTCCAAAAGACTTAAGAAATAAAATCAAGTTATTCACCATGTTAATGAGCCTAACCTTCACTCATCTTAAACCATAAACACCATTAAGAGTTAGACAAATTGGGTTAACCAATTTACAATACTGATTTGAGTTACAAGACAAAATACAAGAGATCTAGAATTCAAGTACCATTAAGATGGAGCACAAATTAAAACTTTTTTCTGAAGTACACCACAGATTTTGGAAAAGTAAAACCTCGGTATGCATTTAATTTAAGGCCCACCTCATGAGTGCCATGCGAGAAGTTAAGTCGTGCAACATTCATTCCAGACTTAATCATTTCCTTCAAGGTCTCAACAGAGCGGGAGGCTGGTCCTGCAGAGGATGAAAAACACATTAGTCATTTCTGGAAGTTTAAACAGGGCTGGGGCTGAAAAATCAGTTTATGATCACCTGGTGAAAAGGGCTGCGATACATCTGAAATGGAGAGATAACAGGGATGAGGGGGGATATGAAAATTACTTGACTGGATAATAACTTTGACACTGGACCACTTATTAAAAAGAAGACTTCTACTACTGTTCACAGGAGTTTTATCTTCACCTACTCAATACCATCAGGTTTAATTGCATCATGCTTGCTGAGTGATGCTTACTATAAAGGATCTCCTGACTGCTCATGGCATTAGGTTACAATAAAGGAGGAAGCAATGGTTCTCCTGTTAGACCCCAGTCCAGAAAGTACATTAAATGCAAACATTTGGCAATGACTTTAAAGGGCCCTCCCCCAAAATTAGAAATATTCAGAATTGGACAAAATTTTAAAGCAATTTGATCAAATATGGGCTTTCTTGATTAAAGCTTTACACAACCAATTTTATTCCCTGGTATTTAAATTTAGTTTCAATTAACTGTTCACAAGATTAAAAGTCCTGTGAAGCTTCGCAAATCCTAGAAAGTATTTAATAAACATCTGAATTTGCTCACAGAAAGAAACAGTAAGAGAGCACGGAAAGTATCAAACGATGGTGGCTAAATGAAAACACAAGGACCCCGTGTTAAAAGAATGTGTAATTTGCATGCCACCTATTTGCTAGGAATCACTCACCGATGGTGCAGATGATGCCAGTGTTGCGGGCAGTGGTTGGCTCCGAGTCAATGTCCAGCAGACAGAGGTGCTCCAGGAAGGTGTCGGCCATTGAAGCGTTGAGCTGCTGGGTCTGGATGAATGCTGTGCCCATCTCCTGGGCCTGCGCCTTTGTTGATGGCATGGTGGAAGTGGTCACGGCTGGGTTTGTCCTGTGAGCCAAGAAGATCCTGCGAGTCAGCTCAACAATGGGGGGGAGGGAAACTTGGACAGTGCTTAATGGAAAATGAAATACCAAGACAATTTCTTAAAATACTCCTACATTTTAAAATAAATCCTTCTAAATGGTGAATTTCATTCATCCTTGACCTCTTTATACAGCATGGGCAAAGCAGGAAACACCCTGGACAGGACAGCCATCCATCAATTTTTCAAAAAATGAAAATAAAAATAGGGGCAGAGTGGTGGCACTGTCTAAGGATCTGCATCTGTGGCTGGAAGGTTCAAATCCCACAGCGGGCAGAGGAATCCTACTCCGTTGGGCCCCTGAGCAAGGCCCTTAATCCCAAATGCTCCAGGGGCACTGTATAAAATGGCTGACCCTGTGCTCTGACCCCAAGCTTCTCTCCCTGTCTCTGTGTGTCTCATAGAGAGCAAGCTGGAGTATGTGAAAATAAATTCATAATGCAAGAAAGTGTATATGGGCAAAAAAGTGATCTTATCTTATCATAGGGCAAACAGACCTATGATGGGCATCATAGAGCCAATCTTTTCAGAACCCAATTCAACCACTACGTCTGTGGGAGTTTACAGGGAGAACGTCCACACAAGGGAGAAACTCCGTAAGAACAGCAGCCCAGGTCCAGAATTGAACCCAGGGCCCCAGCGCTGCCAGGCGGCAATCCTAACCATTGCACCAATGGTACCATTTAATATCTTCAATTAGTATACCTGCAGAAAAGGATCTCAACTTTCATCTTAAAATATTGTAAAATGGAGTAATTGGTTTTCAGATTAATGATAATCCATAATAATTGCTACTCCAAAATCCAAAATCCATTTCAACCAAGTCAAAGAGTTAAACAGATTGCTGTATTTAAACAGCATCTTTTTGCAACCAGAAATTTGATATGCAGTTTACAATATACAAGGAGGAATCTGCATGAATACACAGAAGCACAATAGCACTATTAAAAATTCAGTAGCTTCTTGGAAACTCCATTCACAAGGAGTCTGCCTACACCTTGGTAACCTTGCACAAAACATAGGCTCTAAAGTCTACAGTACATATTTAGAGAAGGCATGGAAGGTATTGGTGTTAATGTGCACAAACCTTCCAATAATAGTATCTTAATATGAAAACTAAAATTTCTTTATATCACAAGGTCTGGTGAGTAAAAATGTACTATATAGCTAAATTATCTTAAGAATAAACAAATATGTACATGTATCCTGCATTTTGGGTGAGGATTTTCATAACCTCATAAACTTGCATAGAGGCAGAAAACCAAAAGTAGTATTTACATACTACATGGATAAAGATGAGCATTAATAAAGATCTACCAAATGTTTCAAAAGGCAGTAGTGTTATTACTTATTTTGTATCCCTTGCCTCAGATGCAACAAGCCCTACTCCCAAGCCCAAAGACTTCAAAACCAAAGCTTTACCACTGGGTACATGAGCAGGACGAGGGAAGCAGGAGCAGAAGCCCAGGCTTTGCAGGAGAAAAATCTGGCTCTGTGACACTTCCCTGTGCCAGCCCCCTCCCCCCAGCACTATGAATCACCACCCCCACCCATCTTACGGCACAGTAGCTTTAACCGCACAGCCCCATACTGCCGGACAGATGTGCTGACGAAATCTGCATTTCTCAACTCATTTCAACAGAGGATGTTAATCAAGACTTGAAAGCAGTTAAACTGTTAAAAGGAAAGAAGCAAAAATCAGTTTGAGTTGTTTAGAATTCAAAGTGGGTGATCTGTAATAAACCCTTCAAGTAAAGGAGAACGTTTGTTTTTTTTTTTAACAATGACAAGCCAGAGGGGACCCATTATGAAGCCAGAGTACATTACTGGAGCGCTGCAGATGAATTACTGTAAGGAAGCATACGCTATTAGAAAAGGGAGCTTAAAAAGGAAGAGGCTGGGGGCTGGGTGTGGACTCCTCCATACCAGTGCCAGGCACTGCACTATAGACATGAATTATGCAACAGGAATCAGTTTGCCAGTAAATTTCCACCACACCCAAAACTATTCCAAAGGCACTGAGAAGAGACTAGAGGGCACAGACAACTATATGAACATTCATCACTATTTCTATCATACCTCACTAAGTGAGAATATACCACTTTGGTTTAGTTCTGAAACTTCCAAGAGTAGAGCGTTGTGCTCAAGAACTAATACATTTCAATGATTTTCAAAACGTATGTGCATTTCTATACAGTCAGGTTAAGAATATATACCATCTGGTCATAGAAAAGTACGCATGTGTTATTCCTTATGTACATGAATTACATACAAAAATTGACAATACAGGCAAGTTCTAAAAAATTAGATTGCATTTAAAACATCTTTCCCTCTGATACAGTCTGCATTGCATCTTCACACTTTTGAAAAACTCCCGATTCTATCCTGGTGTGCGACAAATCATAGGTTCTTTCAGAGTACTAGAGGAAAAATAGTTAATTTACTGCAATATTCAGAGTAACACCCATAACTACTCTGCAGCAGTGACCCAAATTCCTCCTCTTACATGCAGATTATCTGCAATAAACTGACTGTGCATCAAGTCACCACTACAGGAGTATTACATCATTTAATAATATTAGTATAACAATTAAGGCAACCCTTTAAAACAACTACTAATGCAAAGAACACCTACAAAATGGAAAAGTATTATTAAATACAATAATGGCAATGAGCACTATTGCTTTTGCTAATGGTACAGACCAAGGGTCATAAAATAAATAGGGGAAGTCTACAAAAAGCAGAAATACAGTGACTGCAATACAGGTTATAACCAAAACTACTGGTTACAACACTACTGCAAGTTTACCACCCCCAATATAACAGTTCCTAACTCATTACAAAGGTGCTGTATTGAATTAGACCCCATGCTCAAACTCCAGTACATTCTTACCCAGTTCAGTTTAAGAATGATAGCACGGGAAGTACTGTATAGACTCAATCTCAAACTAAAACCTATTGCAGTGCAAAAAAGGCCTGAAGTGTCTTAAAACTATGACTTGGAGGTAGAACTATTTGACTCCAAAAACATTTAATGACCTATTATCCATCCATTCTGGTCCAAGGTCACCTTTACAGTGCTAAAGATGTCTTATACTTATGAAGAATCAGAGTTGAATATCTCCTGAATATCTGCAAAGAAGTCAGCATGGTAGAATGCAGGGCACAAGTCAACAGAAGAGCTTAAAGGTTACATGGTAAGCTGGAACAGGACAGGCATTTGCTGAGCAAGTAAAATAAAGTACTGTCACCCAACAAGTCTGCCAGTCTTTGACTTAAGACGGGAACTAGAGTGACTCAAAGCCCCTGCCTTCAGAGGTCATGTGCATGTGACAAACCTGTAGCCAGCAGATGCACCCTGCATCAGACAGCAACAAGTCTATAAACTCCAGGTTCACAATTATCTAAGCAACCCTACAAAGTCACTTTGTAGGAAGGTAGCATTTCCTTTTCCACATGGAGCATTTAAACATTGTATTCAATCCGGGTAAGGGCATGTTACAGTAAAGAAACATGCGCTCATCATCCACTAAAACAATTAAAATCTGTATTTTGCAAGTTAGGAGCCACAGATTGGCCAGAATGCATAGCTTGTTTAAGTGCAGCACTGAAGGTGAAATTGAGAAACCAGGACTCAAAATAAACATGCACAGAGAAAAAAAACCTCAATTTCTAAGAGATCACATTCCACAGCTAAGGCTACATCAACAGTTGTAACTTCACCGACAAGGACCATGAATGCTGTATAAATGTACAAATTACATTTGAGATATGACCATACAAAACCACAAGTCTGAGATCTGAAGTTAAATGTAAATTGCTTCTATTCTAGTGTGACTTTACATACTTAAGCTGTAGCCACTGAATCAGCATCTGAGTCAGATGCGTCATTCAGGCGCTGCAGTACGTGAGCTGCCTCACATCCCCCTGCAGTGCTTCGCTTCCACTGCGTGCAGGGGCACGAGCAGTCTCAGAGGGTATTCACTTCTTCACATGAACAGGCAAAGCCCCAGCATTAAAAAGAAGACAGTACACATCACAGAGAGGTAAGCTAGCAGCATTAAACTACAGGCTTGGAAATAATACCTTCCGTTCAGACAGATCTTATTTCAGATAACTGTCCACAGTACATTCTCTTAAAGTCTAGAATGCATCATCCAGTTCAGTTATAATGTGCTCAAACAGCCAAAATCATGTACTAACAAATCACTGCAGATAAAGAAAGACTTTTGAATCACTCACCTTTACCTTTAAAACTAGCCTCCTAAACAAAAAAGTGTGAACTCAGAGAGACTCCAACTGGTTACATCATCCCTCCCCCCCAACTCAAGAGCACATTTACTTCTTTTGCCATCTCAAAAGCTACACCAGAAAAATAACGCTTCTAAAATTACTGCTGGATCAAAAACTCTTGTATACAAACCAAAGAGTTGAGAAATACATTTAAAGCTGATCACTTTTTTTCTCTGCATCAGCACAGAGTTAAAGCACTGAAAATCTTGTTACACTTGGGATTAAAAATAGTAAGAGATGGCAAATTACTGTAGCATTTGCTTTAGGCTAACTTAAACCAAAGACTTTCCAAATCAATAAGGTGAAAAGTGAAAGGTAACCTCAATTGTGAACATTTTTGTAAAACTACAATCTTTAATAAGGCCATTTCTGTAACAGAACATACTCAGTTCCACAGTAGATAAAGTAACATTTGAACAGACTGCCTTTCACTGGCAGGACAATAGCTCTTCAGACAGTGCAAGCTACCATGTTTTCCAAGTGCAGAGAGGAGATCAAATTAACAGCAGTGTCAAGTCACAATTTCCTATTTTATAATACTTTCGCCAAACGTGCAATAACTACATTCCTGCAAGATAACTATTCTTTTGAACACACATGCCTGCCAAACAGAATTAGTAAAGGGGGTGTTCACACTAACCTGAGAAACTTAAATAGGTAACTACGTAAAAAAAAATAACTATCACCCATACAATACTCACTCTAAACTAGAGCAGTTAAACTTCAAATACCTTTAAGAACTGGCAATGCCAACCAGAAACCTAGAAATTCAAAACCTGATACCAGGAATAGTGTTGGAGCTCCACATTCATCCCAATGATGCAATACCTGAAAAAACACCAACATGTTTATTGCAATAACTCATTCTCAAATTAAAAAGGACAGGTCAGTGTTCTATGCCACAGACTAACCAGGAATCATTTCTAGAGGTGTAAGTGGGGCCAGGAGGGGGCGCTCACCCTGAGGCTCATGTGGGTCCCAATGGCCCAGTGAAGGGACGGAGACACTAAACTGTAAAAACAGGCGCCGTCCTTCAGATGAGACGTAAAACCGAGGTCCTGACTCTGTGGTCATTAAAAATCCCAGGGCGTTTCTCGAAAAGAGTAGGGGCGTAACCCCAGCGTCCTGGCCAAATTTCCCATCGGCCTTTATCAATCATGGCCTCCTAACAACCCCCCTCTATGAACTGGCTTCATTACTCTGCTCTCCTCCCCACTGAGAGCTGATGTGTGGTGAGCGTTCTGGCGCACTATGGCTGCCGTCGCACCATCCAGGTGGGGCTGCACATTGGTGGTGATGGAAGGGAGTCCCCATTACCTGTAAAGCACTTTGAGTGGAGTGTCCAGAAAAGCACTATATGAGTGTAAGCAATTATTATTACAGAGAAAGGTAAAATGTTCCCACCAAAGCAAGTGGCATGATGATCTAAGCAGCAATAAGCTTAATCAGATGAACACTGATCTGCAGGGATGATTCCTTGAAGGTCAGCTGCTTTGGAATAATTGATCCACAAAAGCCTTATGAAGTCTATTTGAAAGTACTTTTCAAAGTGACTTGCTCAGCTGTGTACAAATACTGGTCCAGAAAAACAAGATTTACAGTTTGGGATTCCTTTAAAAATCACACTGCATTTAAATCCTTCATATACCTCTCAGACAGAATGTAATGCATCTTCACTCTATTCCTTACAGGCTATCATGGGAATACAGTTAAACTACACTAGCTTTCTTTTAATTCCTGAATTAGTAATTTAATCTGCTATAAATCTGAATTTGGGAACGCTGAGAGCTGTACTGCACCTCAACTTCAGTGGAGTTCTTATCAACTTCACAAAAGCCTTTTTCTTGAAGAGAGGGATTACTTAAAATATATTCTGAAAACCCATGCCTCAGGAACCCAGATGCTATAAAATAAGTTTAGGTTTGTTTGAAGTAACATATCAATGAGCACACACCGAAAAGGAAAATCCAGAGAGGAGGTTTGAGTCATAAACTGCACCCTGCTTAACAGTGAAACTTTGGTTATTGCCACAATAGTAACACTGGTCATGAATTGAGGGCAGATTCAGGGACCAACATTCAAGGCTGGTGGGGGTGTGAGTCAAAGTCTAAACCAAATTTCCTCTGGTTATAAAAAAACTGCATTAAACCCCTTTCAGGTTCTTAATGAGGCAAAACTGCATGGTATTTCCCTTGACTGAGAAATTCCATTTTGAGGTCAGTTTTACTAGGTGACTAACGGAAAATGTCCTTTCAACTACTCATCATACAACTCAGATGGTTCCACAGTCTTCATTAGAAGTGCTAAAAAGCTCAGTATTCACCACAAAACATACCAGATTTTAAACATTTCCGTTGCATTGACCTCATCTGGTCCCCAATTACTGCCTGTTTTAAACTGAAATAAGACTGAAATCAAGGAAGTTATATGCTTGCCACCCACACTGCAAAACTTGGCCTCGGTCTTAACCACAAAAATCAGCCACAAATGAATTGTTGGTCTGCTGCAATAATCATAGGTGTAGGAGTCACAGACTTCTGGTACAAATCTGAATACATTAGGAAGGAGGCAGAAGTCTGAATCAGACCCCCCAAACTGGAAGTTTCCCCAACTTGCTACCAATCAGTATGACCCTATATAATGGCCTATAGCCATTGTTCCTCATTTAACCACTACAGAAAACAAGGGAACACAGTTCGCCAGCCATGAATATCAAAGTAAATGCAGGCTGCCGTTTACAATGTTAAGGGGGAAAGTAAATCATCCATGTTGCCTCTGCCAAAAACCTTTTAGTTTTGAAGACAAGCAGTTTTCCAAGATTGAGAGCTGGAGTACAGGGACACAGGTCCAGTCATATGCACACTGAAGCATGTGCTTGCTCAGATCACGTGACATTGCAGGACTGGCTAAAGATGACTCACAGATGGGCCAACAGGCTGCGAGGCTGGTCATCAATATCCTCCTCAGAGCTAACAAGTCTGAGAAGAGCTCTAGCATGAACCACCTGTTCAATTACTGAAATCTTGTCTACAAGAGGATAAAGAATTAAAAATGAGAAGGTTAAGTAAAATCTCCAATTAAGAACCTGCTAAATGAACCCTAGGCCTCCATTAGAATTTTGAACTTAATTTCAGTTTAAAATTAAGTTGAACATTTTGTTCATCTCTGGGAACTAATTTCCAAATTTGGAGAACCACACATAGTACTACACCCCAGTTAGCCTGCATATTAAAGATAGTACTTTTCCCACTAGTTTCAAGACTCAATACCGACAGATGTTCCCTAATCAATGGCCTCCACTTCATGGGCAAAGGACAAAACTGTTTCAAAACCTTGGTGACAGACCCATTATTCACTGAAGACAACTGTGCTCCATTACTATGCAATAGCAGGAAGTGATGAAGCAGTTTATACAGGTTTCAGAGCTATGCAACAGAGCTTAACCTACTGGAGCAAAGCTAAGACACAAACCAACTATTTCTAGTTGGATTTATTTTTATAACCCAAGATTTTTACTGTAGACTAAGCCTACATCATGCAGAACATGAAGCAATCAAGAAATGTCCACCTTTTCAAATATTCTACCCTTTTGTCAGACTATTAATGGTGATAGACCTTTTTAATTAAAGCCAATATTTTAGGCTCCAAGAAAATGAGCCCCATTTTTGCTCAAACTCATTTGAAAGTGGCCCCATCTGCATGACCCAAAGATGTGCAATGATCCTCTGCTAAACTCATTTAAAGCCGAATTTGTTTTACATCAGCACAGTTCAATTCCTCCATTCAGTCACATCCCTCGGCCATGAGATGCAATCTGAGAAATAACTGCACTGGCAACTATAATTGTCAGATAGGAAAATTTATATTTTCTCTAGCTACAGGGACCAACTGGTTTGTACATCAGAATAAAGCAAAAAAACAAATCTTACACTGTAGTTTAAAAATCTTAAACTACATGTCTTTATATTAGTGTATTACATAGCCTTTCATATAAAAAACAAATATGGATCTCTAAAATATTCGTAATTATTTAGTAACAGAAAAAATGTATAATAGGACGGCATTTCTATTACTTGAAGAGAAACGTGGGTTTCTCACTAATTACTGCATCCTCTGCTGACCACATCTCCATCCCCCGGGAAAGCAAAGGCAGGGACCTTTGAAGACTGGACAGACGCAGGAGTCGGGCCAATAAAGACGGGAAATCTCAAAGGCGTTAAAAGTACCGCATTTCCCAGGATACCGGAAAAAGCAGGTCCTCCCTCTCCAGCGGCTGTCACAGCGACCCGTCACCCGCCGTGACCCGCCGTGACGCCGCGCAGACGCGGGCCTGGTTTCGGGACACGCGCCGCATGGGGGCCTGCTGTCGCCCGCGGGCGAGCTCGCGCAGCTGCGTCACGTTTAAGCCCGCTAAACCCGGATCGGACAGAGCAGCTCCAAGCTGCAGGGCCATCGATCGCCTCAACTGACCCGCTTCCAAATCCGCCTCGCACGCCATCGCCCTCCACCCCACCCACGGCTTCATCCGAGACCCAGCGCTGTTACGACACCAGGAAGCCCGAACCGCCCGTTACATGATGCTGCTCTGGGGTTCAGCCGGTAGGAAGAGACCTGGAGCACAGAACGGCTTGTAACAGTTTTACACGGGTATCTTATGACGCTACCAATTTTAGTACATGCGCTGCCGTTACCTAACTTTTTTAAAGTGATAAGGGAAAGAAACAGGAAACGCCGACAGTGACAGCGGACCGAACTGATGCTAGCTGCCTCCCATTTTTAAAGATGAGGTCCAGATTTAGGTTCTACAAAACGGGTAACTACAGTAGGACCCGAGAACCAATTCTGGGCTGCAAGGCTGTATAAAATACAGTATAACATCCTGCTTAAAAAAAAAAGCCAGAGAGGAATGAAAAGAACCCCGTCATAGACTACGCAGGACGATAACAAGATTCGCAGCTAAATGGATGTCTGATCTTCCCAGAAAAACTTTAAATCGCTTCTCAATGACAGAAACAAGTGATGTTAAGACAGAGGCGGAAAGAAAACCTGAAAAAAAAACAGCTAAGTACCGCAAATGCGGCGCTCCCACTATGGAAGAAAGCACCCTGCACCGTTAAAGCCCTACTGACGCCACTATATTATGCTTTGAATGCAAAGGCTATATTACGTTAAAAAATCTTATCGTCATTGAAGTGTCCGCTTCCCAGACCACAAAAACTCACCTCGCACCGATGAAAGCTACCGGGGACTGACGCAGACACGCCAACAGGCTCAAGGTGATCCCTTTCAGGCGTCGGAACTACTTTGTGGCGTCATTTTCCATGATCATTCCGAGACAAAATAGACCCTGCCAGTGAAAGGCTCCCCTGTGCTGAATTCTATCCAAAGCCAGGATAAAATGAAATACTCACACATAATTGTACACAAAGGAGATTAAATATCAGAGTCCTGCAATAAGCCCATTTGTCATTGTCATTTTCCTTAGCGGACGATTTGACTGCAGGGGTTGCACTGCGGTCTCCTCGCCGCCAATCAGAGGGCGTACCCTGGTCTATTAGAATGGGGGTGATCACGTGTTTAAAGGCTGCGGCAGGGCTGGCCATCCACATTGGAAAGTGCGTGTTATGCCAAGATTTATTTTCCGTTTTGTTGTAATGCAGTGATTTAGAATGCATATTAGACAACTTTAAAACGCATCGCAATCGAGAATCGCGAATTTGTATGTTCCATTTTTCGTAACAGCACCAAAGGAATATATCAAAACGAGATGCAATGAGATGGATATTTTTTTTTATTTAGAAATGTCCTTCGGCCAGTTGGGAGCGCTGTGTGCTGGTGGTTTCCAGACACGTGCAGTTATACTAGCATCATAGTGTGCATGCACAAAGACGCACGTACGCACCCCGTACCAAAATTGGGTAATATTCATGTATATCCATTTTAAGGAAATATCACGGTTATGTGCAATGTAATATACTTACACCTTTGTATGAAATTAGGATGTACAATATTATTTATTTATAATACCTAACCCGTGCCCTTTTAAATAGTTTCTTATTTGCTCTTCAAGTTTACAACTAATATTTTATAGTTTTTAACTATCGATCACTCACAGTGCGACTACAGTTTAGGGTGTGTTGAGACATGGATATGTTGAACATTGAACTTACATTGGGATACATTTATGATTCCAGTTCAGAACACTGAACTTCTTGTCGATTCCATTTTCTAAGCACTTTGTCCAATCAGAGTCGCTGAGGAGCCGGAGCCTATCCAAACAAGCAACGGGCACAAGGCAGGATACATCCTGGACAGGACACCAGTCCATCGCAAGACACACACCCTCACACTGGGGCCAGTTTTCCCAGAAGCCAGTTAACCTACCAGTCTGTCTTTGGACTGTGGGTGGAAAACGGAGTACCTGGAGGAAACCCACACATACGTGCAAACCCCAACCAGATAGAACCCCAGGTCCAGAACTGAACTCTAGGTCCCAGTGCAGTGAGGCAGCAATGCTAACTACTGTGTCACTGTGTCACCCACTGAACTTATTTCTTAGTTTCTTTTAGTTTGATCTGAATCCAGTTTCTCAGCAATGTAAGGGTGGTGTACAAGTTAAGCAGGCTGGCTCAGACAATAGGCCAGCATCACCAGGTTGTTGCTGCTGAGATTGGTGTTGCTGTACCTGTAGGTGTTGCTCTTTCCTCTAAACCATGGGGGGGCAGCACGGGGATGCAGTGGTTTGCATTGCTGCCTCTTAGCACTGGGGCTTTGGGTTTCATTCCAGACCTGGAGTGTTATGTGCTTCAAGTTTGTATGTTCTCCACAAGTTAGAGGTGGTTTTCTCCAGATGCCCTGTTTCCTTCCAATGTCCAAAGACATACTGTACTTGTAGGTTAATTGGCATGTGGGAAAATTGGCCCTGGTGAGAGTGTGTGTGCCTGTGCCTGAATGTGCCCTGTGATGGACTGGCATCTCATCCAGGGTGTATCCTGCCTTGTGCTCCTTGCTAGCCAGGATAGGCTCCAGCTCCCCCATAACCCTATAATGTATAAAGCAGTTAGAAAATGGATGGATGGATGGATGCTCAGTGTGGTCATGGTGACCAGGGACACCTGTGGGAGGTGCCATCCTCATCCTGCATATAACTTCAGATAGCACTTTTTGAAAGAGTAGTGATGTTAACACTAGTGTTAACACTAGATGTTAACACACGTTAACTGTGGCTGAAAAGCTGATCAACACATTTGTATTCTCTCGAATTGACTACTGTAATGTTCTACTCGCAGGGGTATCAAAATCTACTCTGAACAAACTGCAGTATGTCCAAAATTTAGCAGCCAGAATCCTGAGCAGGTCTAGTGCAAGTGTTCAGGATCACTCCTGTCCTGGAGTCCCTGCACTGGCTTCCGGTCAAATTCTGTGTAGACTTTAAAATCCTCATGCTCACCTATAAGGCTCTGCATGGCTTGGCACCTCAGTACCTGTCTGAACTATTATCGCCCTACTCCCCACCTCGCGACCTCCGCTCTTCAAATTCTGCCCTCCTTACTGTCCCCCAAGCCCATCTACATTGTGTGGGTGACAGGGCCTTGTCCTGTTATAGCCCCAAGGTCTGGAAATCTGCCCAAGGATATCAGAGAGTCACCTTCTCTAAACTCCTTCAAATCCAGATTCAAAACCCTCTTCCTCAGAAAAGCCTTTACTTAACTGGTTCCATTCTTCACCCCTCTGCTCTTCTTAGTACCACCATCCACGGTCTCCTCTATATATTGTAATTGTGTCTTATCTTGTGCATTCTCCTTATTTATTGTTATACTCTTCTTATTTATTGTTATTGTCACCCTGTAAAGCACATTGATAAGCCACCTTTAAAGGCGCTTTATAAAATAAAGTTTATTAGTATTATTATAGTGTCCTGGCTAAATTCCATCTTGGGGTTGGACAGCCTTGTGTCTCCATTAAAAATCCCCTTGATTTCCCCTTGAGTGAGACAATTCCCAGTTCTTCACCTCAGCTACTCTGAATTGGGGATGCTGGTGGATAATGACTGCTGCACGTCAACACATAAACACGGTGGGTGTAGCATTTCGGTGGAGGATGTAAGGATTTCTGAGAACCTTTGGGATGAAAAATGCTATAGAAATGACAGGAAATATTATCTAATATATTTAATGTGCTTTTACCCTATATATACGTGTACATTGCTGATTCATGAGGAAAAAAACCTCTCATGTAAAAGTATAGTTACAATAATAACCTCTCATTCTCAGTTTTTTCCATTTCTTTTCACGTTGGTAAAAGCTATAATAGAAGAAGGTCATTTGGAACTAATTTTATGAGTAAAGACAGTTTCTCTTCCTACGTTTTTTATTTTATCCCGTTTTCCCACGGTAGAAATAACTTACGAATTTGACCTCCTCCTTTCCTTTTCCGATTAATTTTAAGCACATCTGAGAGCACTAGCGTCCTCTTGTGTTCAAATGAACGTAATAAAATAGTTTTATTGCAGTACATTTACTCTAGATGGTGCTAAAATGTTCTGTTTTGAAACGTAAAAGCATCGAACCTAATCGCCTTACAACAGTAATGCAAATAATAGCACACGTTATATTTACAAGTGAGCCATATAAACTGTATGAAAACAATTATTAACAACAATACAACTACATGTAATACTTTCAAAGATAATGTTTATGCAAAAAGTAAGATAATACTTCTTCTACGATTAATATAATAATAATAAAAAACATTTAATTTTTACTTATTTACCAGTGTAAAACAAATCAGCAGACTGCCAATAAATACAAACAAAATGTTAAAACAAAAGCCTCATCAGTGAAATCAGTTGATTTTAGTCACAGAAGAAAGAGTTTCCTGCAAGCTAAATCAGTCTAGCATTTCAGAAATTACAGTTCTAAAGTCTTTTCCCCACACCATCAGATGAACAGCATTCTCTAACTTTAGTATCTCTGCTTCCTTCGCCAGTGAAGTTTTACCTCAACCACTGAACATTGTTTTGCCTCTTTCCTAATATATTGGAATCAGTAGCTACATCTCCACTAATGTGCTCTGTAGTTTTTGGTGAAAAAGCTTTAGCCCAAAACTGACATGCCTAATCTGTTATTATTGTACTCACACTTACAGCTTAAATGCATGAATTAGATTTAAATTATTAGGCTTGCATGAACTTGGTGGATTGATGTGATAAATATGGAACTCTTGCACATACTTTGTTGTATGTGGTGAGTAAAAACTTGCATGGTACTACTCTTCTGCCATGGAGTGATTTCTATTGCCAAACAGTGTCTTTGTATCATGGTATCCCTTTGTCCCCCTCTTCGTTACCTGTTCGCACTGTTGCTGCTGCCACTGCCCATCGTGTCCTGTCCTTACCCCTGTCTCCACCACCCCCACCTCAACCTGCATCTGCTCTTCAACCTAGCTCAGCACAGCCAATGGCCATGCCTGGAAAGTTGATTGGCAGACCTGTGAACCAATCGGTTCATCTTCAGGTTCACCCTGTGGCCCCAAGTCCATCCCCAACTCTTTCCACTAAGCACTAAATCTCTTGTCTCTCATAAAAAAACAAACTCAAATCCAGGTGGCTTACTTACAGGACATGTGAAATCCCACAGTCAGCTCACAGTAAATTTCTGCTTCTCTTAGGTGTTGTAGCACCCTTATGGGCATTTGAGCCAGTCCCAAATGACAAAAAGCCAACTTTAAAAAAATTGTGTGTATTTTGTCCACGTTTAGCTTAATGTGTTTCTTTGTAGGAGAGTGGTATGGAACCTGCTCCATTTAAGACTGCGCCTGGATTGTTCAGCGGTGGCTGTTCTTCATTGTTCATTTGGTGACAGGGAGTTGATTTGGGAGAAACACGTCAGGAGCTGCAGTTATGAAAAAAAGCTGTTTCTTTTCTTATAATGCTTCTGCTCAGATTTAACCCAGAACAGCACGCTGGGGAGGTGAAAATGCAGCTACGCTTGTCCCGGGAGCACGGGCAGATGTCTGCAGACAGAGAACTGCGTGCATCCTCACCTGTAGCCATGCTCCTGGTCTTCAGGAACTCAGTTAATCTGCCAGTGCTTCTATCTGGCAGATTACTGCTAAGGAGGGTAAATACTGATTAAGGACACTGTTTAGGCTCAAGGGGGTTACTTGTTTCTTAAAGGATATTTTCAGATGAAGTTTCCATGCTAAAACATCATTATTATTGCACATATTCATCAATATTGGCTCATTCCTTGAAAAGACACCCAGCAATATTAATTTATCGATACATTTAGTTGGTCTTAATGATAATTTAGTACACCTTAATCCAGTTCTAGTAATGATCTCCTATAGGATCCCATTTTAAAGGCATCTGACTTAGTGAGCAGACAAGGATTGTAGTCAATTAGAGAGAATCTTACTGATGTCTGCAACATTGTCCAGGGGCTTGTTTAGCTGAATGCTCTGAGACATTAAATAATCACGAGAGGCCCCAGTTCTTTTCTTGGGACATTCGGTAACATCAGAGTTTGTAAGACCATAAGTAGGCACCCACAGTTTTCCCTTTAGACAAGAAGGATAGCTTCCCTTAGCTGAAAGTGGTTTCTCTCCTCCAGCCTGTTCCCTGTCTTTCTGTGCCCAGTCAGCTGGAAGTCACATGAGCAGCAGTGGCTGAAACGCACTGAGCATGCCCACAACGGGCTGTGTTGTCAGGCAAAATAAGACAGCAGAAGGAGCAGAGATCTGCAATAGATAAACACACACACAGCTAGGCAGACATAAAGAGAGAGAATAGAGGAGGGGTAGAAAGATTCGATTCCAGCTACCATTGTGCTTTTCTGAGGAACAGAGACAGAAAGCTGGGAGCTCAGTGCCACAACAAAAAATTAAACAAAAAGAAAAAGACAGCATTTCTCTTTCTACCTCACGAGAAGGGTAAGTGTGAATTGGGAGAGGAATGTGTGTGCATTTTTAGCTTTTATTCTTTTTGTGGGGAGGGGGGAGAGTGGGAGGTGGTGGTGCACTAGAATATGTCTCCATAGGTAACCAAGGCTACCGTGAGAGGAGTGAGTCTGGGCCCACAGAAAATGGAAGGGGAGGGTGGGAGGATTTGGGGATGCTGGAGGGTCAGACTGGTAGGAAATGCAAATACAGTACAGGTATATGCATTTTATTTCTCCGTGTATATTGACTGGAGCTCAGATGTTAATAGTGTGTGAACTGTCACACACTGCATAGAAAAGGTAATGCTCATTCTTGGGAATTAAAATAAAAGCTTGAATAGAAGGTACCAGAAAAATAAACTATTCTCTGCCCATTTTTAGCTGTGCTTCTTTGCTAAGCCCTTTGAGGTGAATGCAGTGGACAAAATGGCTCAGCGACAGAAGGTTGAGTTTCATTCCAAGAGTGGAAGATAGCAGAGTGGGGTATTAAAAAAAGACCAACTCCTTATTGCCAAATGCCAGGCTATGGCAGGAGAGGGTGAGATATAGCCAGAACTGAAAGCATGATTTCAGAGAAAACTGGACCCTGAACACAGAGCAGCATCCTCTGTTACATGGAGAAAATACAAAATGTCTGAAGGCAGGATTTGTAAAATTGAACTTTTTTAGCAGGGATGGAGCAAGGCTTTCAATGTTTTATAAAGGAAAACTGTCTCCCAAAGATGAAGCACCTGCAATGGTTTCATACGGTATATATGTATACTTTCAATAAACCTTTTTATTCTTAATTGATCTTAAATATAAGATAACATTCCATGAGTTTCAGAACCACAGGGAGGACAAGGGTTAAATTCAGTCATATTCTGTGTATAGCTAAAGGTGTGTTTGTTTGAATTGAAGCCTTCTATGCATTCCAGACGTATTTTGCGAGGTCTAAAGTGATTATATAGTTTTTGTGTTGTGTGGTAGGTTTTTCTGTTTATGATCATGCTTGGGGAATGAATTGAGCCAACTTTGCAAACAAAGTTGCAGATGACAATTATTGCGTACTACTGCATTATTATTTTACTGTGCTGAATTATTTTTCTTTGAACTTGGCATAATGACTAATTTCTTAGGCCTTTAGCTCAAAATTGATCCTACATTTTTAGCAGCAACTGTGCATCACACTGCTAGTATTATTCATGTTAGATTTAGACATAGTAATTGATCTACTTCACAGAGTAGTATGTTTAAGTACTATGGCAGTAATGTAATGTAATGGCTGACCCTGCGCTCTAACCCCAAGCTTCTCTCCCTGTCTGTGTGTCTGTGTCTCCATGGAGAAAAGCTGGGGTATGTGAAAAGACGAATTCCTAATGCAAGAAATTGTATAGGGCTAATAAAGTGATGTTATGATGTTATGTTATGTTACACTGGGGACAATTTGGAGATGTCATTTAACCTAAACAACATGTCTTTGAATTGTGGGAGGAAACTGGGACCACTTATCGAAGACCCTCATGACCACAGAAGGAACATACAAACTTCACACAAAATGTGACCCAGGCCAGAATCGAAGCCAGGAAGCATGTCTAACTCCCATGTCAACATGCAGCCCCTTATTTGAATGAATTGTATTGAAAATGTGGGGCACAGTGTGTGGAAAGTGGGTGTTTTCTGTGTGGAGTTTGCAGGTTCTCCCCATGTTCATGTTAGTTTCCTCCAGGTGCTCTGGTTTCCTCCCACTGTCTAAACACATAGCGGTAGGTGAATTGGTTCTTAGGGAAACTGGCCCTGGTCTGAGTGTGACTGTATTTGTGTCTTTATGTTCAATGTTATGGACTGGCGTCTCATCCAGGGTGTATCCTGCCCCTGCCTTGAAACCACAGCTTTCCAGGATAGGCTTCAGCTCCCCAGTGATCCTGTCCTGGATAAAGTGGTTAGAAAATTGATAGATGGATCAAAAATTTGTAGAACAGTACCACAGGAAATCTGTAACAAGAGACATCATCTGTCTTTCAGCCCTTTGTACATCCCTTTGAGTTGCCAATTCTTTCTGTTTTAGTGGAGATGTCTGAGTTTTGTTTTCTGTTAAAATATTTTCTGCTTCAGTGTTTGTTGCAGAATGACATCTGGTGATGTGGACAGGGGCTTCACTAGGATTGAAAAACACAGCTGAAGGAAGCTGAGGCTCCACATAGGCTCATGCAATAATCATAATGCAACAATGGACACAGAACAAGCATGGCAGTGAACACTAAACTGGTGTCATGGAAACAAACCATGTATCACAAACAGTATCACAGAAGGACAGAGATATGACATTTTCTGATATGACACCCTAATAGACTGTTTTAACATTCTCCATATATAAAACATGATTATCCCATCTTGAGTGCTTGTTTGTCTATCAGCTTCAGTCATTTCCTTTTTGGGAGGTTACAAGTTAATTCAGTACAGAATTTCTAAGAGAATAATCCATTTTTCTGTAGGATGCCACTGGAAGGTGTGTAAAACAAAATGTGTTGGAAAAATGCTGCAATTTGTCCAAACAGCCTTAATCAAAGTCTGTGTTGTGTTCTATAACACAAATTTAATTATATTGGCCATCTAAATTAATAATTAAAACATATTTTTAATAATTATTATAATTAATAGAATTTCAATGATGACAATTATTGTTATAACACGTAATTGACATAGTGGTGTGAAATAAGATGAAACACATTTTATTATTCTGTCATCTTTTTTTGGAATAATCTTTTTGTAGCTCTGTATCATAGCAACACGCAGGTCCATTGTCTTCATCAGCAGCACATTAATCATTCCGCAATAATAGTGTCTCTAATAGTCTATAGAGTTTTCAGATGTCGTTACATCTGAAAAGCCTAGTTACACAGCCTAGTTACACTCTTGTTTTAAAGCAGAGAGATGCAGTTTTTATATGGGATATTTATTGTGCAGTGTCTCACTGCTGTTTAGCTTCTGGTTAATTTTAAAGTTTATTTAGAATGCAATATCCACGTTTCTCCTTTTACACCCAACTTGAAAAGGTCAGTTTATATTTAACTCCACTGTCTCCTACCTTCCAGACTGACATGAAGGAATGAAAGGCACACACATTCTTCAAGAAACACATGTCTGACTTACAGATTCCAGTAGGAGGTCATACAAATTTAAATTGACTCTGTTCTGCGCCTTCCCAGTAGAAGTACTTTAGCATTATCACAGGGGGCTCTGGCCACAACTGATGATTGACACAGCCTGGGCTGGGAGTACCTTCAGGGCTGGAGAACTTGTCCTGTGCTGCAGGTAGCATAATCTACAGGAGAGGCCATTCAGGAGCAAAGTGTTAAAAAAGCAGTGAGCTTTACAGTACTAAAAGTACAAATAAAACCCCAACAACAATAATAAAATTGGAGTGATGTGAACTATTATTTAGAAAAGATGGGTAATTTCCATATTGGCTCATTTAGTCTCTGAGACATCACATGACTCCCTCCTTGATGGGACTCTCTTACAGGAATTACCCTCCAGAAATGCTGTCCAAAGTGAGGACCTAAACTTACACCTGTCTTTCTGCTGCAATATACCCATTTAAAAAATATCTATATACGTGTACTATATAATGTATATACTATATATACATTTATACCTGGAAGAACTAAACAGATTTAAGGTATTTCTTTCAATTTTAAATCTTAGGTCTCTAAACTCAAAAGATTTGTCTTAGTCAGCTAATGCATTCAGCTCTGAAGCTCCCATTGTGTTCTGCTGACCACTGACCACTTCTGACTTGCTACATCGCTAATTTATAGGGGTGTCTCTTTTGTTCTTTTGCTTCCATGTTAATCAGCTGAAGTAGTTGTGTGAAGCAGTGGTTGCCACGGAAACAGCAGAGAGAGCTGCCTACCCAGTGGATGCTAAATCTACAGATTGCCTTGCTTCTCGTCCTACTGTAAACAGTTCAGTGGCCGGAATGGAGGAGAAAGGCCTAGTCCTATCTGAGCTTCACCTATGAACTGCAAATCCAATGGTGAGTTCCATGAAGACCATTTCCTGTTAAGCAATATGATATACATTCTTTCTGATTAAAATAACTCCTGCCATTTTGTGAACTAAATAATTTACATTATCTGTAACCACTACTTTGAAAAACTGGATTAATTGAAATAGTTAAATTAATAAATTTTATAAACATGTTTTCAGCCCTCCTTGTAATTTTAAACCTCTCAAAAATGTTATAAATATATCTTACAAAAGACATTTTAATGGTGATTCTGTTAGAAATATTTCTATTTGTTCTTTGCTGATATATTTAATTGGAAGTGCAAGTAATAGCCGAAATGGCCATAACAATATACAATTACATAATTTTTAACATGTTTAAGACATTAGCAAAACGTTTCATAAGAAGATACGAATTTATCTTGAATAATATCCATATCCCAGCATTTTGTTTGCCTCCTAATGGAAAGAAAGCCAGAATAGCCTACTGACTTATTAGCACTAACAGTTTTAGTTTTATTTATATTTAAAGATGACCATATTTTAGCATTTGGATTCAACACAAAGTATTTATTGCTGTAATGTCTTTTGTTATAATTTGTGTAAAGAAAATGAAAAATTAGCATGATGCTACAAATAACAGCTTACATATTTAAGTCACGTAGCCCACAATAATGTGAGGTTATGCGCTAAAGCATGATGCTTCCATGTGTAAAACTGAGAGTGTAAAACCAAAGACTCAGCTCTGTTGTTTCGATTTCTGAATGTTCTGATGATGTTACTTTGCCTGTGCTGTTATGATACCAAACCTATGCCCTGTTGTACCCCTTGGTTATGCAGATTGGCTGCTGAAGACAGTGAGAAGGTAGTGACTTCATTGAGTGACCTCAATGCTGAGGCTGCCCTGTCAATCTCTCTGTCTGCAGGACGTCAAAGGCCAGTATTGGACTGATGAGGAATCTGATGGAGACAATGACTCCGAGGAGTTCCTGTATGGGATCCAGGTAATGCTTGCTTCTCTCTTAGCTGCTCTAAACTATTACTAAACCCATCTCACTGGGAATTCTATCACAATCATAATCTTCTTGCACACTTTTTAAGACATTTTAAAATAACCCCTTGGAAGATAACCAGATATTTAAAACTTCACGAGATGAAAATGTTTCACAATGAAAATACAGACATTTGTAGCAGTTGAAAATTGAAATTAAAATGGAAATCTCCTGAATGAGTGCAGTATATACTTTGTCTGCTGGCAGTGTTTCTCTCACGCCCTGCTTTCTGTTCCCAGGGGAGCTGTGCCGCTGACCTATACCGTCACCCTCAGCTGGATGCTGACATCGAGGCTGTGAAGACCATTTACAGTGAAAATTCTCTGTCTGTCAGGTACCGCTCAGTTGGTGTCACATCCTCCCTGGCAGATCAGTTTAACTTGTGTTTTCGCATGAGTTCAATACTTAATTGCTTTGCAATAGCACAGTAAGGAGCGTGTGACATTATAGCACCTGGTAAAGGAACTGGCTTATTTCAGGTGACAGATTTATTTATTTTTTCAATTATAATCAACTTGAACTGGGTGGCATTTATGGTTGTTCTTTTTTTATATCTGTAGAAACTTTTCCGCCATCATATTTATCATCTCAGTTTTGTATTTTTACCTTTGGTAAAAAACAAACTAATTTATTGAACTGGAATCTGTTTGAAAGTGTAGAAAGGAAATTCACCTTTTTTACGTGCACATACATTAAAATACAAGAGGTGTGTGCTATATGAAAATTGGATTTTCAGGACAATACTTCTGCATACTGTTGAACAAACAACAGTGTTAGAAGTACATGCTGTTTCTCCTGTAATGAAAAGTTCCATGTAAGTTTTATTTGGAGAGAACATTGTAACATGTTATATACAGGAGCAAAAACAGGAGTTTTTATGGTATTGTTTATTGTACAAGTGTCACAAAACAGTTCTTTCTGGGCCCTATGCAGACAACACAATCCGGATTTGTGAGGAAACACTGGGGAAAAAGTCATGCAGGAGAGGGTATGGAGACAGGGGGCGTGTCCAAGGGGCAGTGAGTACGGGGCGAACAATCCAAGATGAAGTTCAAACGGGGAATTCAAAACAGAAGCAAAGTCCATGGCCAGGAGATTCATCCAGAGGATTAGGTCGGGACCGGCGGGGGGGACAAAAAAAAAAAAATAAAAAAATAACGGAGCCAGACGCAGCAGGACCCGGGCTTTCACGAATCGGGATTCAATAAAAAGCCTCGAATGACGTCTGCGTCTGGCTTTTAAGGGGCAACTAAAGAGGGGCTGGAATAAGGAATAGGTGCGGGTAATGGGGCAGAACAAGGAAGGGCTGCAGCACCCTTAAGAGGAAGAGTAGCGATCGTAACAACAAGCCACCTGTGAAAAATATACATTAGGTGGAGCAGTTCTTTTTTACATTTTTAGACTTTAGTAATCTGTGACAAGAGTGAATATGGTGTATATGATTGCCTTCAAAAAGAGGCTGTGCTACTATTTTTCTTTGCATCAGTTATATGGGTAACCCTGTTGTACACCATGGGCAAGGTGGAAATCACGCACACACCAAAGTCAAAATCACCAACCATTTACAATATAGGCTGGAGTATATGTATACTCCAAAAACTTAAGACCTGTCGTAACTGTTTCCTATGTTTTTGTTTACTTTTATTGGTAAATTTAGGACAGTATGGGATTTCAGATAAAAATGGGATGGCAGCTGGGGATGTGAGTTGCCCCTCTGACGATGTCCCTGTGAGTGTATTAATTATTTGTCCGTTGCCATCTATTTTTCTGTCTCTTTCTTGGATAGGGAGTATGGAACCATTGACGATGTGGACATTGACTTGCAAATTAACATCAGTTTCTTGGATGTGAGTATGTTTTCATCTCTGAGTGTGCTCTCTCTGCCTGAAGTACCTAGGCAGGAAATTCTCAGTTTTACCCCAAATCTGTCCATGATCAGAGCTGGTCTGTGTGCTGTCTTCTCAGGAGGAGGTGGCGACTGCATGGAAAGTTATAAGAACAGAACCGATTGTCCTCCGTCTCCGTTTCTCCTTGTCTCAGTACCTCGATGGACCGGGTGAGCATTTTATTTTATTTATTTGATCATTTATTCAACCAGGTAAGTCAATAAGGAACAATTTATTATTTGCAATCACTACACCCATTAAACATACTGTATTTCCTGATGGGTAATTTGCTATTAGATGCTGCCAAGACATACTGTTGAAAAATGAGTGTTTCACTTTTGCAATGTTAATTCCTTCAATGTTGAAATGGCATCCATTTGAATAAATTGCACTATTCAGACAACAATCAAGTTTAGTTTATTTGTTTAGGATTTTGTTTCTATTCTTACAGCTGCTGCTTTTCAATTCCTGATATTTTCCTCTTATTGTTTTTGTCTTATAGAGCCTTCAGTGGAAGTGTTCCAGCCTTCAAATAAAGAAGGTTTCAGTTTGGGACTGCAGCTTAAGAAGTAAGCTATCTTTGCTTTTTATCCTGTTCTGTGCATGTTACCTGAATAAATATCTTCCTTTTGGGTCACTAGACTTGTCTAGGAGCAAGGTAGATAACAGTCTAAGTAAAGACTTTAATGGAAATCTCCAGAGAATAGGTACAGTATGATTCAAAAGGCAACAATAAGAAGATTTAAAAAGAAGACAAAGGCAGACGACATAATTCAGTCATTTACCTGTCAGCACCTTGTAGGATTTAGAATTATATCTCCCTGATAAGATTCTATGCAAGTTAAAGAGCATCAATCTGATTTCAGTCATCCATGCACTGTACGAAGTTCTTACAAAGATTCTTGTTTGTAGAAATCTCCAAGTATTTGTGTTAATTCGATAATTTTATATATTTTGTTTCAAGTAGGCCATGTCAACACAAGGGAAATGTATTAGGAAAATCAGGCAAAGCCCATACAATGTAGAGATGTGAGTTAACAGGATATCTTATCAGAACAATGCCCCCTTTAAAAAATATCTTAAAGTTCCGCCATATAGTTATTAATTAGCGTCTTGTCTTCCCCAGGATCCTCACCATGTTCACCTCCCAGCAGTGGAAACACCTGAGCAATGAGTTCCTGAAGGCTCAGCAGGAGAAACGGCATAGCTGGTTCAAAGCTGGAGGCACCATCAAGAAGTTTCGTGCTGGCCTGAGCATCTTCTCCCCCATCCCAAAGTAAATACAGCACACTAGTGTACATTGACCAGGCAAACCTCTGGGAATGCATGTGCTCTGCCTGCAGCTCTCCAGTCCAGTTAAGGTATTGGGTCCTGCATGTGATTTGTCCTGGACACACATCCCAGTCTGTGTATCATACAATCTGTAGGGGCTGCATAGCAGCTATTTCAATCCACACATGTGAAGTAAGCATTTTATATCACGGTACCCTGTCAGACTATATCAGCGTTTGAGAAACTGTTAAGAAGGGAAAAGGGCGTCGCGGATGGACATTATAGAAATCACAGAACCTGCACTGCAATGTGAGACACCCTCTCTCTTTCTATCTCCTGGCAGGTCTCCCAGTTTCCCTCTGATCCAGGACTCCGTGATGAAGGGGAAGTTGGGTGTGCCGGAGCTGCGGGTGACCCGGCTCATGAACCGCTCCATCTCCTGTACCATGAAGAACCCCAAGGGGGAGCTCTTCAGCTACCCCCCCAACAGCCAGGTCAGTTCCTGCGATGACGACTGAAATGCCCTTTATAGAGTCCAGCACAGAAGGTATATACTGAAATAAGGTAAATAACTACTTTCTGATTATCAGATTGGAAGGTATGTAATTTTTTATATGTGCTGACTCAATATCTTCTAAAGATAAATTTAATACACATGTAATGAAATACCATTGGTTTTTCATCTTTTGCCACATCTTTTGCATTGCTGTATACCGTAAATTTTTTATTGCATTTTTAAACGGACATTGTGTCATAAGCATAAATAGAAAGATAGATAGACCGCCATACTGGCTCCACAACAGCCGTTGAGACGCATTCTTCACAAATTCCCCAAGGGTGATGTTTGCAACTTTTTTAGTTCAGTACAATTAGTCATTTCCATTTTTGTTTTGGTCTTACCACGCCGGTTAATTGATTTGCTTAAAATTTTAAAGAGCCGATTCTTCATCCAATCGATATGAATTTCAAATGTTGCTGCACAAGAAATTGCAAGAGGAAGGGATTTTAGTTTTAAGGTAAAAAACACTGCAAAATGTATGTTTTAGCAATGCAGGCACAAAATGTAGTAGTGCAGTTTTTGCGAAACAGCCGTAAGAATCTAATTAGTCTGCCAGGAGGGCTGCATTGTGGCTCTGAAGAGCACACTTCCACATTTCAAGATGAATGTGTTTTTTTTATGAAGCGTATTCCTGTTCTAATAACTCCCCACCCCCTGTTCAGTCTGACTGGCACCCTTCCCATAATGCCCTTGTCTCCACTTGACCCATCAGAGTGTGGCTGTCCCAGCGGCCAGGCCTCCTGCGCAGATTACCACGAAGCAGCTGATTGAATTGTTTTTCTCATCCCAGGCGGGGGGCCACTGCAAGAACATTCCTACCTTGGAGTATGGCTTCCTAGTGCAGGTAGGCTTAGTAGAGGGTGCAAAAAGCGCAGTTCAGCAAAAGTTTGAAATGAGTTTTATTTTGTTGCAAAAAAAGGCAGATTGCTGGAGAACACTGAAGAAGACACACTCAAGGTGTATTCCCCACGGTACTCTGAATGCAAGCAGTTATACAGATGTTTTATAGTCTGAGTACAGATCCAGTCAGCCTGTGTTATTACTGGGTGTGTAGAACTGACCATTGCATATGCATTAGAACAATATAAAGTATTATCACACATGACACAATGGCTTTTTCTGATGTTTTCCCCACCTTTCAGTTATTTGTCACAAATTTCCCATACAAAATAACCTCAGAACAATATATTCCAGCCATGTCAGAAATGAATCCAGGTCAGGTCAGGTTCTACAGCTTCATTCATGACGTATTCTTCGGTCCACACTTTTGGTTTTAACATGCCTTTCTCACTGTTACAGCCTCAGTCAGCTTTCATAGAAAAATGGGGACCTTAAAAATATACACTCACTGTAATAGACATAATCTTGATCGCCTTGTTTTTTACATCCTGATTTGTAGAAGATGCCAAGCTCATTTGTACCAGGCATTGGCCACCTAACGTAATCAAATGTGGAGCAGAGACATGACTCAGCTGCTCTCTTCTTTTCTGTAGCCGCTAAGAAACAACAGACCATGGTGCCTGATCAATTACAGCTGCTGACAAAGTTGACAAGAACTATTCTACAAACTTCTGTCAAGTGCACCACACAAGTAGTCTTCAAGGACAGTCTGTAGAAATTCATTATTGACATCTTGTAGTCATTCTGTAGTCACTCTCTCATGACAGCAAACCATTTTTTATTGCATTATATTATATATTTTGTATTGTAATATTTTATTTTTATTGTAATATTTATATTGGAGCAAGTAGACAATGTATCCAACAAATATTACATTCTGAGCATGAGATGAATTAAATCTATTTGTCATAGATTATTAAATCTATTTGTATTATTAAAATGGTCAATTTTATGGTACTTTTTCCAGACTTTCCAGTGTATTCATTATTTTTCTTATTGCTATAGTCTACTTGTATTCTATTCAAACCAAATTCTGGCTAAGGTGGCGATAGAATAGAATTACAATATATCACAAAAAGGCACAGTACCGCACACCTGGACATACAGTAAACGCAGAGCAATGGAGGTGGCTTGGTGTTATTTTGTATCAAAATGAGAATTTGTCAGTAATATTCAACTCATCAGTCACAAAATCTCCTCTGGGCTATAATCTCTAAGAAAAGAGAATAAACAAATAGGCAAGAGTCTGTTTCTGTTCGCAGATAATGAAATACTCTGAGCAGCGGATCCCTACTCTAAATGAGTACTGTGTTGTCTGTGATGAGCAGCATGTGTTTCAGAACGGATCCATGTTGAAGGTAAAAAATGATAAATCAGAATTATATCTTTCTCCCTCCTGGTGATCTTCCATGGCGGTATTTAGTGATTGTTTTACAACATAAAGTCTACATCAGTCTTTTAAAATTGTCTGACAATGTAAGAAATGTTTAATTTAATTAGCTGTCCACAGCATCCTCATATTCCATGTTAATGCTGTACTAAGGCTTCATATTTAGCTCTTTGAACCCCCACTCAGTTACATTCCCATTGTATCTTTAGTACAGTGGAAATCTTTTAGTTTAAGTGCTTGGTAACAAGCTCTTATAAGAAAAACAGAAGTGTTTAATTAAAAAAAAGAAAATGTTATTTTTGTACTACAAAAAGGACTGTAAATATAAATTTTGCAAGAAACTGTGAAACTGAGCAATTCAATTGAAAGGTTCTCCAAATCTCTGCTTTGAGAAAGCCTGATCCTTCTGTCTGCTGGTGTGTGTGTGTCTGCAGCCGGCTGTCTGCACCAGGGAGCTGTGTGTCTTCTCATTCTACACACTGGGGGTGATGTCAGGGGCGGCAGAGGAGGTGGCCACTGGAGCAGAGGTGAGGCAAACTTCATTTTTAAACTTAATTAGAAACTTATTTTATCACTATTGCTCCCTGTACAGACACCTGTAAAATTCTGCATATGCCTACACGGTGCTGTTTGAACCTTTCCAGTTGACATTTAAACAAAGACACAGTACTGAAACAGCCCTCCTTTAATGACTTGCTGATGTTTTCTTGTTCTCAGCTATGTAATATTCTTAGTGGTTCATCTGGAAAATGAAAAATGGGAGCCAAATAGTAAATCTTGTCTGTTTTAAATCTGACGTGCCAGTTACTCAAGGTGGTCCACAGCATTCGGAGCTGGAAATTTTATCAAGATACCCTTATTAAGATATTAAGCTATGGGTGCAACAGAACTGTCTTAGGCTAAATTAAGACATTATGAGCATTGACTCCCAGCAACATCCATGCAAAAGTGTTTAGCTTAATGCCATATGCCTTTCTAAATTTCAAGGCCTTTATTTCACTTAGACTGGGAGTACTAAAAAGCTTAATTTACCATAGTGTCTACTTGTGTATCAGGTCTTTCTGGTACTATTAATGAAGCACTAAACATGGACAGAAAGCAGTAGTGATCGGACAATGACATGGTCATGTGCTGTGTTTTCAGGTGGTCGATCTTCTAGTGTCCATGTGCAGAGCAGCTCTGGAGTCACCCAGGAAGAGCATCATTTTTGAGCCATATCCGTCTGTAGTTGATCCCAATGACCCCAAGACACTGGCTTTTAACCCTAAGGTATTGTAACGCATACGGCCTCCATTGTTTGCGATAGCTGGCTTACCAGCATGGTGACGTCACCACCCTTCCCTATGAATAGCAGGGACCGCAGCCGGTGGGCTGACGGGAGATTTCCCATTGGCTCAAGTGGCTGGGTCCCTGTTGAGTGATGCCGGAGGCCTGGGTTTGAGTCCCCGATGGTGGGGGGCTGAACCGATGTGGAAGCAGTGAGGGCGTATACCCACGTGAACAATGTAGTGTTACAGTATTTACATATTTATTTTAAATAGTTCAGGTGGGTAACTGCGTCAGCATACATAGACTGCAAAGGAAAAAGTAATAGGTTTATTTGAAACACAACGTTACGGCCATGGAGCCTTCTTCAGGTGTGTGAAGAAGCCTGAATAAGGCTCCATGGCCTAAACATGTTTTCTTTCTTCTCTTTTCAGCATGGAATAAAACTATTTCTTGTTCCTTTATTTTAAATAGACAAGTCCTTTTTACTAATCACAAAAAATCATTTTAATTTACTGTACAATAACTTCTCCATCTCATCTTATCGCAGAAGAAGAACTACGAGAGATTGCAAAAGGCTCTGGACAGTGTGATGTCTATTAGGGAGATGACACAGGTATGACGTTGCTGAAATGCTGCAGAATAATTAAAACAATGTAAAGCATGGTAATCTTTGTTGAGTCCAAGTTTTCTTACCTCCACTGTGGGAATGATTTTATTGGCAGTCATCATCTTAATGGCTTTAGCCTGAAATGGTACATTTAAAATTTTGTTTGGGAAAGTTAGGCTGTGAGCTGGGTTTTTAAGAAAGATTTTTGTCTGCGAAAAAAATAATTCTACTCTTTATGAACTCAAAACACAAAGGTCAATGAACTGCTAAAATGTATTTAATAGAGTTCACAACTAAGATCAACATCTTATGTTGTTTAGTTAAAGAACTCCTGACCCCTTCAGGGCATAAGAGTAACATGGTAGTTAACTGTCTCACAGGTCCTGGGTTTAATTTCAGAATGGGTTGCATTCTGTGTGACGTCTGCATGTTCTCTCCATGGGATTATGGGATTATGCTAAATGTTGCATTTTCTTGCCACCCTCCTGACATGCTGGCTAGTCTTTAAATTGTCTTTCTTGTGGAGTGTGTGTGTTGTGATGAGCTGGCATCATGTCCGGGGTGTAGTTCAGCCTTGTGCCCTAAGCTTCTGGAATAGGCTCCACGTTGTCATGACCCTTACCAGGAACAAATCACTTTCTGACAATGGACAGAGAGTTTAAACACCATTAGTTAAAGTTTTCAGTCACCTGAATGGAGGAGACTTGTTGTTAAACAAGTATGCTAACCCTTCTTTTTAGGGATCTTACCTAGAGATTAAGAAGCAGATGGACAAACTAGACCCATTAGCTCATCCTCTGCTGCAGTGGTGAGTAAAAAAAAAACAATTAAATATTTTTGTAATGTGAACAAGAAACAAAAATGTTCTCACCATTAATAGTATGGAAAATGGTACAGTGAAGACAATCAATGTTTCTGGTAGAGCACCTATGGAAATCATTATCTCAGTCTTTAATATTCAGAAATCCACATGATGCTACAGTATAAATGTGGTCCTTTTGACAAACAAGGAATGGAACAATTATCTTAATTTCCAATCTCTTTCTTCTAGGATCATATCAAGTAACCGATCCCACATTGTCAAGCTGCCCCTCAGCAGGGTATGTATTGCCCCAAGATGTTCTCAGGTGGTGAGCTGAACAAACAGGCTGCCTGTCATCCTAACATCCTGCACAATCACATTATTTCAAAGGTTTTCCAGCTCATAAGAAATATCTGCTCTTACAAAAGTTATTCTTAGGTAAACAATGAGTCCTACTTTATTTTGTGGTACTGGCACTGCATACGCATAACGGAGTCCTTTTTGAAAACATTATGAGAGAGAAGAGAATAAACATTATTAGTTCCACAATAAATTACTTTACCACTGACATTTGATATAGTGAATCACTCTGCACAGAAAAGCACCTCCTGCGTCAACAAATGAGAGAATGAAAGTGGGTCATGTCTACACTTTCTGGTACTCTGGGTGCTCTCGACATTTAGAGAAGCTAATGGTTGCTTTCCATGCTGTGTATTATGAAATATTGCAGTACTGTCAGATAAAACAAGCAACTCTATGTGGTGACTGCTGTCAGGTATGGTCTCAGCAAGTACTATAGGAGTTCTTACTACAGCTTAGCTACCACCTGACCTACCAATGTTATCCAGTTTTATGGTTTGGCATGTGTTAAGTTTACTTAGTGCAAAATGTAGTTTGACCAAACATGAGAACTAATTTGACACTACTTCGCTTTTCCCGTAATCAATATTGACTCTTGCTTCTTTCCTCCACAGCAACTCAAGTTCATGCATACATCCCATCAGTTCCTGCTGCTTAGCAGCCCCCCAGCAAAAGAGGCTCGATTCCGAACAGCCAAGAAACTCTATGGGAGCACCTTCGCCTTTCAGTGAGTGTTATTAGGCCAGAGTGCCAGTTTCAACACTGGAGATCGTACTGCAGCAAAGAACAAACATCAGTCTCATTGATTATTATCATAGTGCCCTTTTAAAACTCCCAGCCTGGAGCAACTGTCTGTTATAGAGGTCTGAAAGGAATTTCTACCATGATGTGAAAAGGGTTTTAAGACCATCCAATTTGAAAGTCCAACAGTGAAGATAATATGAATGAAGAGAATTGCAAGAATCCCATGCTGAAACCCAAGACCCACACATGCTTTCTCATTATGTTGGGAGTTTAAATGCTTTTCTTAATCATAAACTAATTAACTTCATCTCACTTGAATCTGTGGAGAATACAGTCTGTGTGAACGTCCTTCTAAAACAAACTCACAGGAAATGAAAGGATGTTGACTATCCAGCTTTGTTAATATTTAATTTGTATTTACTTGTTTATCCAAAGTTTAAACAAACCATCAAAATATAGCCTACCCTGTATGTGTATTGGCAGTAGTGTGGAGAAGTGGTTGTGATTCTGGACTTGTAACTGGATAGGTTTATAGTGGGTTCATATCCCAGGTGAGAGACTGCTTTTGAACATTTGAGCAAGATACTTCACAAGCATTTGTCCAATAAAATATCCAGCTGCATAAATGGGTACAAATGTAAATCACTTTGGATTAAAGTACCAGCCAATAAATAGTTGTTAAGTGTCACAGAACACTCTTACTCTTCAATCAGTACTACCATACTGTAATGAAGCAGTCATGTTCAATAGAATTGAAATGATAACCAAATAGCCACTCATAAATTTGGAAAAATTATATTTTTCAAGAGTACTATCAATTGCATCTATGCATACTCAAATAAATGACCAATCAGCTTAAAAAGGAGCAATTAATAGCAATTCTTAGCCTTACGTTTTAATTATACTATAACTCAATAAGTTCTTAATGTCTGAAAAAATGTTTGATCTTTCAGCTGAGTGCAATTCTTGAGATTTCTATTTGCTTTATGATATTGATTATCAAAAAGAACAGAGATCTGCCATGAAACTTTGACTAAATAGTGAATAGCATAGTGTACAATAAAGCCTAGCATGGCAAATGTTGACTCTGTGTAAATGAGCCTAACACAAAACCTGAAATTCCTGGACAGAGGCTTGTCTGGGATCTGTTCTGTATTCACAGCTTCTCTGTTTCTCTCTCTCTCTGCACCTGCTCTAGTGGTTCCCATATAGAGAACTGGCACTCCATTCTGAGAAATGGACTAGTCAATGCTTCTTATACCAAACTGCAGGTATGTAGCTCTCGCAGCTAGAAAGATGCACCACCTCCTGGACAAAGCCTGCCCTTAACCCAGGCCTGTTGTCCAGCTGCTCCATTTTGACAGTAACGGATGCCATGTTCCTCCTCATTGCAATGGGTTGCTGCAAGGCCCACCGGTAACCCGGCTTATGTCACCCAGCCTTTGAGTCCTGACAGCAATGGACGCTAAAGGTCTCTCGGTCCGGTGAGGAGGAGAACCGTGGTGTCCATTGGGCGCCTGGGTTATCTGTCAGCCATGCTCTGGCAAGGGTGGACCACTAGGTGCCTGATGTTTCACTAACCCTCACCTTGCCTTCAGGAATTTCTTCACAGAAGCAGTCTCACTTGAGTGGAGCTTGGGCTAATAGCCTATAAGCTCTGCGGTCTCTAGGGCCAATGGCAATGGGTTTTTGAGAAAGACCAGTGTTGACTGAGAAAACAAGCAGGTTAGTATTTTGTCATCAAGCTTTTACTACTGTGGAGCGAAGGCAGGTGTGTGGTGTTTATTAAAGAGGAAGTAAAGGAAATTGACTGTTTAAAGGGACTAAATGAAATGTTTAAATTCCCTGTACCTTGTGCTTATGTTTCAGTTTATTCCCTTATCACAAGTTACATTATGCAATGTTTCTTCGTTTCAATTGCAATCATGATTCCCACATATATAACAACTAACTAAAGCATAACATTTGCACAAAATACTGAAATCTCCTACGATATAAACAAAGATTTAAAATCATCTAGCCACCAGCACAACTGTAATTGGTAAGCTATAAAATGTAGAACTATAATTAAATGACACATTACAAATGACAAAAAATCTTATATTTAATAAAACCAAACAATATTAAATAACATTAGAATTTTATGACCGTAGATTTTTTTTAATAATGCACTAAAACTGCCTATAAAAGAAGATCATATGAAATCTCACTATTCTGGCTTTAAGACTTGCAACTCTAAAAGTGGGTTGAGGATTTAAAGAATTGACAGTTTGAGGCCGAAACCTCCATTTGTAAGTATATTCCTATTAAAACAAATCCAACCAAATAAAAGCAAATAAAAATGTCTAGTACTTCAAAGGATAAACAGATAAAGAGCAGAGTCTCTAAACATTAAGTAAAAAAAGTAATGAAAGTTTAATGTCTTTTTCCACATCCAGTGATAAACAAATTAAATCATGGTACATCAGACTAGGTGTGGAGCAGAAAGGTGAAACTTCATCTGTTACAGCTGGTATATTATCTAGCATCTTCTTTTCACTGCAGGGGGAGATTAAAGTTTAGAAACCATATGTTTATTGTCAAATCAGATTAGTCATTGGATCTGTAAAAAAGAGAATCTTTGACTATGGAATGTGACATTTTTAAAGTCTGAAATACTTCTTTTGTACATGTTAATTATGATCTTTTATAGAAGGTCCACATTTCAGCAAATACTCACAATATTTATCCACTTTTTAAGTAATAAGCATGAAACTTTACACTTTGACTTAAACACTCCTTTCTGAGTTAAACCCGTGTGCTTTCTTTTTTGAACCAAGTACGTTTGCTGTTGAAATGCACCTTTTCATGTTTAAGCAGTTCTGCCTTTAAATGTTGTTCTTCTCTTTCAATGCTGAAATCCGTAACCACTGAAATCTTTTTCATACACTCTTTAAGTCTTTCTCATACACTGTATAATGTTACCCTGAATTCTCTCCATCTTCTTCACTGTGATCGACCTATTTCAGCCCAAGAATGGTCTTTCCATTGTTCTGAAAATGTGCCTTTAAATTTTCTCACAAACTCTTTCCATACTTCTCTTTACATCTTTCTACACTTAGGCTATGGAACCTTGCCTCTTTTAGTGCATTCCCTCTACCCCCGATCATCTTCATACTTCATACCTACTTTGTTGACGGCCCTCTTTATCTTTTTTAATTCCACAATGAAGTGTGTGTCTTCTGCCTTTGAACAAGAGTCTTTCCACATGTTTCTGACACATTAGGTCCTATCTTTTTGCATGCATCCAGAAAAAGAGTATGACAGGAATAGGCATCCAGCCTAAAAGGTGGAATGGATTCTGCAAAACATCTATCCTGGCAACACACATGGGGTGCCTTGATTTCTGACGTTGCATCAGAAAGCCGTAATGCACAGTCATTAGAGCAGACATACTGGGAGCTCCCGAGGACTTCCCGGTGCTGTGTTCCCGCTGGGGCTCTGTCTGCCCCACCTCCAGGGTGCGTGGTCTATGTCTGTCTTTGTGATTCTCACAATGCTCTTTTCAATGCAAGCTGCATGGGGCAGCATATGGAAAGGGGATCTATCTCAGCCCCATCTCCAGCATTTCCTTTGGATACTCAGGTAGGAACGCAATTTGCTCGGTCCTCCAAAAACACTATCTCCACTTGATGGCGTGTTTGTGTTGTAATATATATGTTATAAGAGACAATGCAGCCGCAGATTAGACAGTGCAGCCACTGATCCTGTCGATTAAACCTTTCTTGGAATTTTAGTACTGTTTTCATTGTTTCGCACTCGGGATGCATTACAGTATATTCTGTCATGTGATGATTTGAAACTGACTATGAGACATTCCTGCTGTCACTGTTTGGGACAGAAATCACTGAGCATTCTGAGGCACCAGAGAAATTCCACTCCTGTCTATGTGTTGTTCTGTCTCTCTTTGGACTCATTTGGCATTCTGCAATGTGTTGTAGTGTCTGTGGCTCCTGGGCGGAGCCAGTTTACAGTGAGAACTCTGTTCCATTCCATTTCTTTCAATTACTTAAGTCTTCTGTCAATAGAGAGAAAATATTTTGGTTCAATTGGATTTTTGAGACTGAACCTTTTCCATTGACAAGACAAACCTGCTGAAAGAGCCTTCATGATTAGCTTAGGGTTACTGGCCTCAAGTGCTGAAGTTTATAATGTTGTATATCAAACTGTATTTGCTATTTGAATAAACAGATTAGTGTTTTGAGAATGTTTTTGCTGTTTTGAGACCACAAAAACAGACTACACAATATGTTACAATGAACAGCCCTCTCCAGACTCTGAATGTGTGTTGTGTATCTTTACTGTAGGGATGGGGAAAGGACAGCACCGAATGCCCACAAAAGATGAGCTGGTACAACGTTACAACCGGATGAACACCATACCACAGGTAGTCTCCCTTGCTGGATCTCATGATCCACATCCTTCAGCTATCATCGTTAGCCAATGCTATCTCCCTCGTCACCGAACATGTCTGCCAGACACGCTTTCCACTCTAACCCCTGCTGTGTCTTTGTTGCTGTCTTTTCAGAGTCGTCCCATTCAATCCAGATTTCTTCAGAGCAGGAATTTAAACTGCATTGCACTTTGTGAGGGTAAGACACTATGTGATTTACATTTCTCTTCAAAACCTTTTGACTCTCGGGTGTTGGCAGATGCACAGTGGTGCTATGTAAACTACTTCACTGGATTTTTGTTATTTATTACACAGATGCGTGATGTTTTTTTCTCATTGTTTTCAGTAATAACCTCGAAAGACCTTCAGAAACATGGGAACATCTGGGTGTGCCCAGTGTCAGACCACGTTTGCACACGATTCTTCTTCGTGTGAGTGTTTCATTTGTGCATGGTGTATGTGAGAGACAAAGATTTGGTGACCCGATTTGGAATAGTGACCTGGCAGTATCAAGTTTACTGCAAGCCAGTCTATTTATATATTTAGTGTATAAATAGACTCTCATTGAATTCTCCTTGAATCGTGTGTTGCTTCAGAGAAGTGTCAAGCTAAAAAAAAAGACCATGCTGCATAGCAAGGATTTTACATCATTCAATTAGATAAATATACCTTGCATGGGTTTTAAAACAGAGAATTGTAATCTGGAAACTGGCAGACTGACCATGCTGCAGAATCATCTAGGGTGGACTCAGTTGATTCTCCTCCATTTTATTTCCACAGGTATGAAGATGGCCAAGTGGGAGATGCCAATATAAACACTCAGGAGCCTAAAATTCAGAAAGAGATCATGCGCGTGATTGGTACTCAGATTTACTCCAGCTGAGCAGCAGTGAGAGAGGAGGCATTGGAAACGAAGCTGAGATAAAAGCCCCAGGAGACTACAGTTTCATGCTTGGGCTCAGTAATGAATGGACTGAATGCAACAAACTAGTTTCAGACCTAGTCTGCATAATCTGGAAAGAGGGAGCCAGTGAAATATTTGTCCTTTCTTTCTCCTCCATGTCCCTTTTAGAACAACATCAGGCAAAGAGCCTTCAAGGTGCGTCTTTAATGTTGCTCTATGCACTTGACTATATTTTAGCACCCTGGAGAGAAGTAAGACACACAGAAAAGTACAGATTATGGAAATTTCCAGATGGAAATGACTGGTTTCACCCATGAGGAGGCTGCTAAGGTAGCATTACTAAGCCTTAATGAATGGGGCTACCAAACAATAAAAGCATGATTCATCGACAGAGGGAAGGGAATAAAAATACACACAAAGCAGGTATCTACTGGTGCATGTTTTCAGGTTTGGTGACTTTGACATTTCTGTGGAAGCTACAGATGACTGCTTGTTTCATCATCCTGATCTTTTTCTGTCAGTGGGAAATAACCTCTTTTCCCAGTTTCTGTATTTTACTGAAATTGAAGGACACAGTTTTGAAAAACATCAGAAATGTGGTTCGAAAAGGAGATCTTAACCAGATGTAAACAAACTTTTAAACCCTCAAAATGTGCCAAACTTTACTGTTTACTTTAACAAACAACACCTTTAAATCTAACCTTTATAGGAAATCAGTTCTTGTCCTTTTTAGAAAGAATATATTTAAGTTGGTTGCATTTTACTTATGTATTATACTTAATGATGAAACTTAGATGCAACCAAATGTAGTAACCCACTAAGCTTAAAATTTATACAGCATTGCATTTAGAAATGTGTTTGCTTTTTATGACTGAATGAGCAAAATGCAACTTGAATTAAAATGAATACATTTGTTGTTGAAAAATGTCAATGATTACATTTCTAACCTTCCTTTTTATTAAGACCATCATAAAAAAGGTCAAAAACATACAGTATTTTAATTTTAATTATTTATTGTTCCTTCCTGGGCTTTTTCCATACTCTATTTTCTTTTTAAAAGAACTTTCAAGATAATACAGATTTAAAAAAAACAATTTTCAGTGAACTTGCAGTAAGGCAACATACTGATTATGAAGTTTCCAAAGCTTCTAGAATATATTGATCAGTACAGAATACAGATAAAATGAAAAAGAAAGAAATTACTAAAGAGAATAAATCACTGCATTTCACCAAAGAGAACTTCTATTCTTCTATCATTTCTCATGAGTGAATCACCACATTTTCTTTAACTGTTATTATTCCTGTAATTAAGTTTCTTCATTTCAATGATACAGACTGTTCTGGGACCTCATAACAGAATGTTTTGTACTTGCTCATGCATTAGGAGTTTTCACCAGTTTCTAGGGAATTAATACTGTTTTTAATTACAGATATCCATTTCTGAAAAGATTTCTTTAAAATAAAAGGAAGAAAATAGCACAGGGAAAACTTCACTATAGAACAAGACTGCTTAAGCAATTGACCTTTTCTGTGAAGCTGGTTTGCACCCATTTCTAAGTAGTGTTAAGACCACTTATTTCAAGTTTTTTCTTATTGGAAAAACCTATTGAATGCTAAACAACAGTCTAAATAGAAATAATGGCTGAGATCCCCATACACCATGTGAAATTTAACCTATGTGAAATTAGTAAGATTGTTTTGTAATGTACAGAAAGTAGAACAACGTTTTGATAGCATGTGAATACCCCTAGTGTTCTCTTATGGTCCGCCACCCTGATTAATTTCTTTGGTGGATTTATGCTGAGCTGCAGTCACAGCACATTAGAGCAACAACAAATGTCCATCGCATTTACCAGTATGTCCACACATTTATGCCTGTTACTGTAACTGCTCTGATTCTGGGTAGTTGTTACTCAACAACTGGGATAGAGGCAGAATATCTAAAATTTAATTTGGTGAGAAGAGCAACATACATTATACTGAGAAACAATCTTTCTCCCATAACATGTAAATGTTAAGAAGTAAGTCAGTTCGATAACATTAGTGTTAAATACCAGTCGCTGTGGGTCTCTTGATTTACTACACAGATTTGATTGTTTGAATATAATGATTTGACTGACTTGACATAAACAATACCAATTAGAATTTTGGTTTACCTGGAAAACATTAATCAGATGACATTGAAATAATCAGAGATCAACAAAGCGGCTGACAGATTCACTGCAAAAAATAAACAATCCTGTATGTGGATGTGGAGGTTTGTCATACAGATTGCAATCCATATCTTTATATATGTCTGCTGGTTTTGAAGTACAGAAAGAACATTTTGATTTTTTTTTGCAATCTGATTCTATATACACTTGAGGACAAGAGATCTAAGTACTGTCCTTTGATTACAGAGGGAGGTCTGCCCAGTGCATGGCAAATATAGTACATGCTTGAGTGTTGCACACTGTGCATGCAAGCATGTTTAGTCATGCAATATTATGTCTAAAACCGATATTTTCACAGCTCTTGACTGCACTGTGTATTTATATAAAAGAACAAACACAAGGCTGCCACCCACAATCGAATGACTTCATCACTGTGGAGGAGAGATTTGTTTGTACAGTACCCACCAAAAAAGCTTTAAAACCTGTTTTCATTATTCTGTTTTTTCTGCCTGATTCCATTCAGCATCTCTCTTTAACAATAAAAAGCTTGGAAATAAATTCAGGCTTGTAAACAATCACCTTCTTTGTTTGAAGATAACACAAAGCAACATTAATAATTAAAGAGAGTTTGCTTTTCTGACAGTTTCCTTTAAAAACTGAAAACTAATTTTCTGCTGATCTCCGGTGCTCAGTTCTGAATGCCCTGTTTGTCTCCTAGCTGTGCTAGTTTCTGTGTACATAACCATTATATATTTGACAAGCTACACCTAAATGTCAAATGAACAAAACCTTTATCAAACTGAATCAATTCTGTGTTTCTGGAAACGTTTACCAAGGGAAAAGAGCTCAACAGAAGAGCTGATTTTTTAATCTGTAAACATAAGTCTTAGAATTTACAAAATTCACATAATAACCTAAGGGAAATTCACAACTTGTGCTTTAGTCATAGCTGCAAAACTCAATTTATAAATGTGTGAAATGAAAATTCTGATGAATTGCATGGTGTTACAAATCAACAATATAAGTGAACTAAATTGTTTTAAACTGGTTTTCACTTTGTCTGGCAAAGCATTTCATTGGCTGAAGGCGCAGAGGTGCTCTCCAAACCTCTGATGTGTGACACTGATGTTGGTTCACACAAATTCAGACTCACAATTCAAGGTTATATTGTTCAGTATGTGCACACAGAACATAGTTTCTGAAGAAAAAAACAAGAAATTTTGTTCTTGAAAAACAAAGCAGTCAAGTTAAGAATGGAAAGAAACAAATCCCAGGTTGCAGAAAACATCAGAAAAACATTTTTAAAATTAATTTCTCTGCTTTTTGTTCTTTTTCTTTAAATACGGTGAGAATACAGGGGCTGTATACGGCCTATGAACAAAATTGGGTGCAGAGGAAACCATAAAGAGAAATGTGAAGTAAATGTTTTAATGAAAAACAGTTTTGTTCTGTATATACAGTACAGTATTTGAGTCTTTGAACACAAAGATAGAAGACATTTCTCATAGTGATTTGTTTGAAAAAAAAAGTGTTTGTACAGATATGGACTCAATGTGCTGCATTACTTTTAGGTCTGGGGTGGGGGGGTTGATTTCTGCAGAAATGTTGGGAATTTCCATGCTTAGGGTTCGAAATATGTGGGACAGAAGGGTCTCTCCTTCTCTAGCTCCTTTCTTGTTGATGTTGTTGAGCTTGGACTGTGAATGACATTGTTCAGTGGTGACACCATGGTATTTATGTGTCTATAAATGCAGTTCTCTATTCTCTGTCATTGTTGTGTGTGAATGGAAGAAACTAAATAAATAATGGATTTTGCACAATTGTATGTAGCCTGTCACATTTTAAGCCTGCTGTTTCATCACCATTTTAACCCCAGCAAGGGATTAACATCACTACCTGCTCTTGTGAATTATGAGGTCCAGAAACCTCTCTGAAAAGCAAAAAAAAAAAAGAATAGGTCTCCAATGCATTGTAAATGTATCACTAGGTATTAGATTAAATCAGCTGATTAATTTCCATGCATTCACATCAAATTGAAGGTAAGCACTGAAAATGCTTTGGAAATCATGCACCTCATATCCATCTCTTTAGATGAACAGCCACCTCTTTAATGGTTTTATAGTTACTCATATTACGTTACACATGTTTTAGCTTATCTGTTGCTCTAAGCACTTTTACACTCTGATGTTCATATTCCTTACCAGTCAGGCAATATACTGAAAATATTGTAGTTCAATTAGAAAAAAGTCAAGAGCCTCGAAGGGTATCAACTTGTAACCAAATGTTTTATATCACACAAGCCCATTTCCCTCCAATAAAAAGTCACTTGATTTTCAAATCCAAAATTTACCATTTACGATACATTAAAATGTAACATATGCGTTGGATCTTTTTCAGTTCCCAGCATGCTGATTTGTACATTTTTAACAGTATACATGACCTTTTCTTTTCAATAGTTTACTCTATCTCCCTGGAGTTCTATAATATAGTCCACTAAGGGGTGCTGTTGTATTATTAACCAGCTTTGTGTCTTTCAGGATATGGCAATTCACAAAACTGTAGGTAATCAGTTACTCTTTATTTGGTAGAAATGTTGACTGATGTTTAAGAACCAAATTATCTAAGATTTATCTTAAGACTACACCTGTGGGTTCTCTCATGTTATGACATTACCATCAGAGTGGTAATGTATTTTGCTAATTGCACTGTTAACATGGAATATATACAAAAAAAAATGCTTACTTTTCTCTTTTGTAGCTGAACTGTGCACTGCACTGTGTTTTAGTTCTTAATGTTTTTTCATTGTGTGGCACTCTTATTGTTGTTTTTTTCAACTTGAGCTACACGTATTGTCCTTCTGTTAATTTAATTCATTTTTCCTTTCCTGTGGCAGCACAATTATTCCTCGTACTTGCACATAATGTACATTTTGTATGTTTTGCAAATCACCCTGGATAAGTACATCAGTTAAGCAAATTATAAGAAAATTCACAGCACTAGATTGAACATCAGTTCATCTAACCAAACACTTCCAATCTAATATCTTCTATCTAATGTCATTTTGATAAAATTAATTTGTTTTTTTTTTCTGACAAGTAAGGAAAAGTATTTAAGAAAATAAATCTGCTGTAGCAAACAACATTCTATATATAACATCACTTTATTAACCGTATTAATCTTTTCACATACCCCATTACCGATTACCTACAGTTTTGTGAATTGCCATATCCTGAATATATGAATAACTGGAAAAAACCTAAACCAGATAAAAAGCATTCATTTCCAGACCTCTTTAAAATCATTTAACAACAATGTAAAGGAAATATTCAATCAAAAACTGTTATCATAGACATAAAAGGCAAGACTATTTGTATAATGCACATAACGCAAAACACAAAACGTACTTTTCTCAGTATTGTTTTATTACAAAATATTATTTTTCAAACTTGTTTGAAATGAATGAAAGAAATCATTGCACAGTTGTGAAATCATTACACATTACACATGTAATGTAATGAATTACAAATGAATTAATAAACAAGTATTAAAGTTAATCCAAGCACTGGAAATATTTAATTAAAACATATTCTTTATTCCTTCTTGGTCTCTAAAAGGTAATTGATTTTCTAAAAACCAAACTGCATTTTTTATTTAAATGACAATGAAAGATTTTGAACTGTATTAAAAAGGAAACTAGGTAAAACAGCAATAATTCAGATGATTAGCTGTCTTGGTTTTTAAATCTTCTTTTCATTTTTAAGTTAGCTAATTAAACATGAAAAGAAGAGCATTTTGTTTAATTTGTCATGGACAAAGTAAGAACAGATTAATTGGCATGATGTGTCTATGCTCTACTCTTTTTACTCTCATTAAAAATAAATACAAATTTTATTTCCTTTATAGTTCTGTAATTTAAAAACCTTTTAAGAAGATGGTTAGAAATGAGAGAAGCCATATGTCCCATCCTGTTGATTTGTTTTTTTCAGTAACTTTCAGTAACTACTCCTAGCAGTGGGCACAGACCTGACATACTACATTGTAGGCAAAGCATGAAACAGGAAAATATTGTGGATTCCAGCAAAACAAAATGATGTATTCTAATTTATTTTCACACACTAGTGTTTTAGTGAAAATCTAAGCTGGGGGAAAAACAGAAAAGGGGAAGTAAAGTTATGATTACATAAAGATTTAGTCCATTAATCAGGTATTAAATGGTGTATTGGGACAAACAGCATAATAAACAAAGACAAAATCATGCAAAATCCACACAATATAAAATGAATTTAAAACACATTTAAAAAAATAAATCCATAATTGAGTTAAATGCTTATAATACCAGATTATTTATATCTGTATAAATGCTCATATAATGGAAAGTGTATCATAGCCTGCAGCATACCTATATTTAACAGATAATGCAATGTGAGTGAGTGAAGTCACTGTAATTTTGACATGGCTCTATGTAATTACTCTCTAAATGGTTTTGATTTTAGGGAAACAGAAGAATTTCTGATCCTGTGAAATATCCATGTGAAATACTCAGGAGGCTTCAAGATAAATTCAACAGTTTTGTAGCTAATGTTTTGCAACCCAAGTTTTTGTGCTTTCTGAAATATGCCTGGAACACATATTTTGACACAAATGGCTTTGTCATTTACCCCCTAAGTCTTAATTATAGTTTAAGTTTGGTCTGCAGCCACATTTTTACAGGGGCCATTTCCATAAGCAGGGTATAATTTCATCCACTAAGTGATGTCTACAACAATAGTTCAAATAATATGCCTTATTTAATTCTGACAATGCTTTCAAGAAAGAAAAAAAAGCAAGCAAAGCACCATTAAATCTTTAAATCAAAGCTGAAGCATCATGACTTCAGTGGGATTGTACGATTTCCTTCCAGAGGGAGTACAATATTTCTCCCTCTCACAACCCCTAAGAAAAACCCATGTTTTAGATTATAAATCAAGAAGCATTTTTGTGATTCAGAGTAAATGTGATATATGAACTCTAAATAAGTTACCTGAATTTTGTGCACATCATGTGTAAAGAGTTTGAATGTAAATGTATCTTTGGTGTTCTGTTTTAAAATAGTTATTTCCGATAAACATGTGTGAGGACATGAAAACACCACAGATAAAAAGTGAGACACATACTTTTTCTTTATACTAAAATATGGGTTTACAGGTTCTTCCACAGTTGTCAAAGTCCCTGTAACTCTAAAAGACATTCTAGATATGGGCTGGATAAGGGAGTGGTTGCAGACAAGAGACTGACTGAGCAAATTGTTTCGTTTGAAGTACATTCTGAAACTGCACATGTAGACTGCAAAACGGGGGATTTCAAGGCAGACTCTGAAGAAAAAGAGAAGTAGAATAAGATTGAATAGATCATATAATTTGGGATAAGACAGATGTGTAATTAATAGAGATTTAGATTGCTGCTTTTGAATGATATTCTTAGAGAAAGGCCATAATGCACAAAACAGTGCCCCGAGTAACCATTTGAAACAT